GTCGCGACCGAGTTCGGGCCTCAACTTGCGCTCAAAGTCCTGGGCGTGGGCGTCGCGAAAAATGTCGCCAACGTGCGTGAATGCCCGCTGCAAGGGCGAAGGGCGGAATTCGTCTGCGATGCCACGACGCTTGCGGGCAGACGCCTGCGCGTCATCTACTTCTGAGCCTGTGGCCGTAGCCTGGCGGCGCAGACTGCCTTCGGTTGACGTTGGTGGCTGTCCCTCGCCAGGCTGTTCTTCGTCGACTTGCGTCGGTGCACGAGGAATGCCAGATGTGTGGTCTTCTTCCACTTCTGCAGACAAAGGAACATAGTATGGCAGAGGAACATCCCGACTGGCGCGGAACCGCCCAACATTGGTACAGTGCTCATTCTCCACACGAAACACCGACCACATGCCTCTTCGCATTACCTCCAAAACTGACACCGTAAACGACGTCACTGCCGGATGGGAATCCTGAAGCGGAACAATCGTGTATAGGACCCAAATGTTTCGCAGAATCGGATCAATACACATGGCCGTGTAGTACCACCAGGCCTTCTTGTACCCCAGCTCCTTGCGCAGAAATGGGTATTTTGCACGCGGGTCGCCCAGACTCCAATCGTAGTAAATGTCCCAGAAGCTCGTGTAGATGCCGTTGATGATACCAAAGGTAATGTACGCAGCCTTAGTCGAGGTTCGGCTATCGATACGATGAATGCTGAGCGTCGCATTGAACAAAATGGTAGCAGTGTACTTTCCACCGTTCAACAAATGGGGAAATTTGTTGCCAGTGTCCTTGTATCGTCGGAGACATTGAAGCAATCTCCATACGCCGGGAAGCGCAGAAAGAAAACCAGTGATGCGCAGATGAGACGAGCTGCATTGCGGCGGGTAGTTCCAGCCGTGTGCATACAGACAGAAGAACATGGCCATATTCTAGCAAAGTCAGTGACATGGAGTCGAACAAATTGCTGACGACGTACGCTCATGCTGTATGTCAAGGAACAAAACATGTCACCCATGTAAAAGTCTCGCCATTCGACAGGATACACACCAGCAAGTATCAAGCGCCACTAACAAAGCGTCAGCAAATCCATGTGCACTAGCACACACCAAGCTTACCAGTGAGTACAACAGCCACATCCGCGTCCGAAAGTAAAATACCCGGATGGGATTGAACAAAACAGCAATGGATATCCCAATAAGAATGACCGGGTAGTAAAGATACATGTGCTGCCCACCGACTTGATGAAAGTTGATTTGCATAAACAGTCCCAGCATGAACAAATACCAACAAGGAATCTACCCACAAGTCAGCCCTCGCATCACAGTCCGTCTGCATAATTCACTAACCTCTGCAAGTTGCCTCCAATCCAAATGGTGGCGGGTATCATATTCGAAGATAAAAACGTAATTGATCTTGTTTTCGTGCCAAACACGGCACGCCAGACAGAAGAGTAGCGTAAGGAAGTTGATAATGAAGTATCCCGCATAGATCTTACAACATTAGCGCGGCCAGGGGCTAACCGTTTTCCCTTTCCTTCTTACCTGTAACAAATAGCTCGTATTTACAGCCAACGTGTTTGGGTCTGAATCAAACAAATCAGCTATGCTGTTTGCCTTGATGATGCCCTGGAGGGCCAGGATGGTACCCGCGGCCAGCAAAAGGCCGTTGCGGAAGGTATTGTCGGTGTAGTCACCGGCACGTGCAGTCTTGACGCGCAGTTTGTTGACGGCAACCTTGTGGTTGCCCTTTTCAAAATATCTTGCATATAAATCTTCCACGGTTCGGATATGCCCCTCAACCACATCGCTATTGACAAACCAGGCTTGGTTCACTTTCTCGTTCATGTAGCGAGATGTCGGGCGTGCATTCACAGTCTTGTCGTACTTTTTGTTGATTTTACGAAAGGCAGTGCGATTAAGCAAGGCGTAGGCTTTGAGCAGTTCCAGTCCACGATAGTATTCCTGGAGTGCAATCTTTAGTTTCCGCTTGGCTGTCTTGTAAGGGACCTCTGGCAGGTCCGGGCGACGAGCAAAGTCACGGCGGTTGTCCGGGTGATCTCTAGGCCGGAGGGCTGCTGGTGTAGTGAGTTGCGCAATGTTTTTAGTGCTCTTCCCGTACTTGCCCGCATTGATGGCTTCGAATGCAGCATCAATAGGGCTCGTGAGTGCATCCTTCAGCACGTTGCTGTTGACCCAGCTGTGCTGAACCTCCTCGCCCCGACTACTATTTTGGCCGCCACCGAGGACATGGTCATCGTCATGCTTCTTGTGCATCTTTGCATTGATTTTGTCCGTTTGTCGTTGGATGATATCATCGATGCGGCGGTCTCTCATGATGTGAAGCTGGTCGCGCAGGACAGCCAGGCGATCGGTAGCTTCATCTTCCTTTTGCTTGTAGAATCGCTCAATCTTGTCCAGCTCACCGTCAAGGAAGTTGAAGAACTCAGCCTGACGGAAGTCGAAGTCACGATATGCCTCAAGTGGCACATCGCCTGGACTAGCTGGAGGGGTCTTGTTGCTGGCGGAGAACAGGCGGCGTACTGAGGGTCGTGGGTGGGATGAACTGACAGGGGCCGGCGTCGAGTTCATGCGCTTGGGACTGAAGACGCTCTTGTACTTTGCGGGTAAGGAGTGGTGACTCTTGTGGGGTGCCCTCGTCTTGCCCACCGCGAAAGCATTGTCCGTCTCTGGTTCTGCAGGCGGCGGCAGAGTCACAGTCTTTGTCTTGGTAAGGGGCTCGCCGGACAAGCCAACATGGGGGGAGACATTCTCTGGGTCAAGAGCAGCACCGGGCAGCTTCAGGGACGGCGGGGCTTTGCTCTTGCCCGGAAAGCCTTTTTGTATACCATTGGGAGGGCTGGTAGCGGCAAAGCTGCCATAGCTACTGCCTAGGTAGGAGAGCTCGCGTCGTCCCTGGTTCAAGGGTTCTTCCTCGGGTGTGCGGCCGAGCTGACTGCCCTGACTGGCCTGGCCACCATCCGTCCCCCGCTGCAAGCTGTTCCGGCTGCGCGTATTGGTAATGGCAAGCGCCCTCAGGTCTTCTGTGTCTCGGGTATTGCCCTGGTGCGTGTGCTCCCGGTTCAGGTATGTGTACTTGGGCGCGGCGTCCAAGGGCGACGGCAGGATACTAGCACCACCACGTCTGCGCAGTCGGGGCGTCGATTCCACATGGCGAAGGGCGCGGTCGATGGCCTTGAGCTTCTTTTTGCCCAGCTAGAGAAGATGTCAGTCCTTGGGCGATACTAATCGCGGGCTAACGGGTCCAATAACGGCAGCGCACCTTGTAATCCAAATACTTGAGCCTCCACTCCGGCACGAGATCGCGCTCGAGTTCCCTGTCACAGTGAGCAGCCGTGTATGGCCATGCGCGCAGTTTTCTCGTCTCACTTTGCAAACTTCATGGCAGTTTTGTGGGCGCGTCAGCAGCGAAAAAACGACGAGGGACAGGCACGGCGCGTCCCTTCGCGACACATGGGCGGTCCACTACCGGCCGGTAATATCTGGCAACTCAACACGTGGGCGAACCTATCGGCACTCGTAGGCCAGCTGTTCATGTACGACGACCCAAAGGTTCAGTGGCGCTGCGAGGGCGGCTCACCGGCAAGCTGAGGGGAGTCTCTTCTCGTCCGCGAACCCACGAATCACGCCCAGCTTGGCGGTTGGCAAAAAGGGTCCACACGTCATCATTCGTCAAACCACTGTCTCGGATGTTCGACCGTGTCCGGCGGATAGGCATCTAGACTCAGGGCGTCGCGAACACCGCCAAACTAGGACATTTCTTCACAATCACCGAAAAAAGCATGGAGCACAAAAGCAAAGTTGCATGTAAGTAGAGTACATTAGCGTTCATAGTAAGCGTAAGCAGCTAGTAGTCCCGTCTACCATCCGCGCTTCTCGAACCTCTCCGGCGCACCGTATTGGTTAGGGTCGTATTCGTTCGCTCCATGGTTATCAACGTAGTGCTCGTCGTACATGCGCTCGGCGTTCTCTTTCGCGTGGTGCTTTGCCTTTTCCCGGTCGAACCAGTCTTCTCCCTTGGTCTCGGCAAGCTTGTCAACCTGTACCTTGTCAGTCTCTATAATGAGGCATAAAGGAAGCGAGTCAAGAAATACCTCAGCACCTGCAAAGCCTGCAAGCAGTTCCTTGGCGAATGCATGTGATACAGGCTTGCCTAGTAGTAAATATTAGCAACGGGTGCGTAAACATCATGCCTTAGCCGTCACATACCCTCTTTGCGCTGGTGGTCTTCAAAAGCCTTGAAGCCGGCAAAAGCTGCTCCTCCAGCAATTATCTCATGGCCCAAGCTGGACTTGTGTTCCTCAAAGTTTTCGTTCTCGTAAACCTTCTGGTAGTTGTCCTCGTTCTTGTCTATGCTGCTTGTCAGCATCCTACTCCGCAACGTCTTGCAAAGGTACGGTGGCAAACAACTCACCCCAGAAACCCATTGTGGCTGATAGATGCAAGTAGTATGTATGTAGATTGGTTATGATAGGGTTCAATGTAGCTGTTGTGAAAAAGTGCGAGATGGATGTGTAGGTCTGAAAGAGGTAGACCGGACCTGGCTTTATACTCGTCTTTGAGTACTTACCATCTACACCATGGTTATCGCGGCCGCGTCAGCGCTAGCTAGCTACCATCTACGTAGGGATCCATTGAAACAATCGACACCAGCTATAAGGGCCGATTGAGCTCTTCAGGGTCCATTTGTGGCTCAGCTGGCCAGCCGTCTGCGGGGTCTTCAACGCCCCTTGACATCATTCGACCACACGTTGTGCCTGTAGCAATGTGTAACACGGTTTGATAGTATGGAGCATGCCTGAACATGGTATAGACGCGTGCGTAATGCAGCGAGCGGTGGACTCCGGAGCGCGGGATTAATGGGCCGGCAAAATAAGCTTCCTTGGTATACTAGCTTAGCCTTGAGGCTATGCAACTGCAATCCTGCACTTGGGCGGGGAACTCTGAGACGAGCTGGATTGATGCCTCCAGAACTCACCAGCAGCAACTTACAATATCAAAACACCATCGCTAACAAAATTCGTTGCCATTAGAGAGCAACATGGGCATGTCGCAACGATTAAGGAAGAAAAGCTTGGTTATTTAGTCGGCGAAGATCTCCCGGCTCAGGCGATCGTTGTCTTGCCTCGAACCCCGCAATCGTCCGCCCCCCCCCCTCAAAGAACTCAGCCTCACAACCTACCGCAACTTGCGACAACATGCCCAGCCGCCTCCCTGCAACAACAGACTTCCCTTCATCGGCGGTTTTAACCGTCACTCCGCGTATGCCGAGGTCTGGCAGTATCTCCTGTGCCTCTGCTAACTAGTCCAGCGCCTTCCTCGCAGCCGACTAATGTCTTGATCCTTCTGCACGGCCTCGGAGACACGCATGAGCCTTTCACCAAGCTCGGACAGCAGCTGAACCTGCCGGAGACAGCATGTATTGCAGTGCAAGCCCCCAACCCCGTGCCATTCGATCTTGGCGGGATGAACTGGGGTGAAGACATGATTTTCGACTCGAGCACCGGCGAAATGGACATGGACACGGGTCTAGAGAAGTCGGTGCGGCTGGTGCTGGACGATGTCATTCGCAAAGGGCTCATCGACAAATGTGGCTACAAAGCGCGCGAGATCATGATATTTGGGTTTGCACAGGGTGGCATGGTTGGGCTACAGGTAGCCGCCGAGTTCTATGGTGAAGAGCTTGGCGGGGTAATCAGCGTTGGGGGTCCGCTGTCACAATCTGTGCCGCTCAAAGCGCTACAAAACAAGAGCAAGACTCCCGTATTGGTCTGCAAGGCGAACAAAAAGTCGTCAGTCAGCGACAGTGCAATCTCCAAGCTCAAAGACGTTTTCGAGTACGTCGAAATTGCAGAGTGGAAGAAGAGCGGCGACGGTATGCCGAGCAACCGCGAAGAGATGATGCCCATTATGCACTTCTTTGCCCGGCGCCTCCGAAGCACCAAAGGCGTACCCGCTGGAAGCGTCGAGCTCAGCTAGGCGCTGGGCCTGGAAGCGACGACGAAGAAGAAGAAGCAGAATGAGCATGAAACGGGGGGTGCAGCCATGTACGTATGTCGACTCATCGCAGCGTCAACAACGTCAGCAAGCAACCTTTCCAAGCGCTGGGTAGGTAGCAAAGAAAGGCCAGTGGGGCGATTGGGTCTCGGGAGATTAGGCTTGGAAAGTGGGCAATATCAATAGAAATTGAAATGGAAATGCTAAAGCTCAGTGTTGTATTATTGACACCGCTTCTGGCGTTTGGTGGAGACTGTTCTTTCCAATCCCCGTTGGGCACGTGTAGAGTTGCAATGTGGCCCAAGCTCATCATACGTCATGGCTCTAGTGCCATCTGCTCGTCCCTCCACTCTTCTTGTAGCATCTGCACGTCTCACCGCTACGCACCAACATGGCAGTGCCGAGGAATTCACTACGAGCTTTCCTCACGCACGCGAGAGGCGCACTTCGCGATGCTATTGACGGCAGCCAGAAGATCACGTTTGTGATTGGCAATGAATCGGCCGGTGAGCATGACTCCCCGCTGCGCGCAAGGGCGTTTCCCGTACTCATGCAACCCAGACCTTGATTCCATGTCAAGCTCGATTCTCTACGCATACCTTCGGTCCATGTCGCCGCAAAAAAAGGCATTCAGCTCAGTCTACGTGCCAATCACAAATATTCCAGCAGCCGATATCCAGCTGCGACCGGAATATCTTGCCGTTTTCAAGCACGCTAACATCGAGTGCAAGCATTTGATTACACTGGACGATCTTCCCGCCTTGTCAGATATCCGGTCCAAACTCGCACCGGAGAACACACGGTGGATTCTTGTAGACCACAATGCTCTCCAGGGCCAGCTGGGCGAGGTGTATGCTGACCGCGTGGCCGGCGTTGTTGACCACCATGATGACGAGGGCAAGGTGCCAGCCGACACGGGCGAAGAACCTCGAATTATTGAGAAGAGCGGCAGTTGCACTAGTCTTGTAGCCAATTATTGCCGACCGGCGTGGGATGTCCTTTCTGCATCGGCGATGTCTTCTGGGGCATCCCATGGACAAGATGACAGCTTGTCAAACGACGCGGCCTTTGTCCAGCAGTGGGACGCGGATGTAGCTCAGCTGGGACTGGCCAGTATCCTCATTGACACGGCCAATCTCGAGGACGCAAGCAAAACGACCGAGCACGACCGTGAAGCAGTCGGGTACCTCGAAGCCAAGATTATGCTTTGCCCCCGATTGGCTGCCAGGTTCGATCGGACTAGGTTTTATGAGGAGATTGATGCAGCGAAGAAGGACATTGGTAGCCTACAGCTGCAAGACATATTGCGGAAGGATTACAAGCAGTGGAACGAGGCGCAGAGACTGGGCATTAGCTCCGTTGTCAAGTGCATCGGCTTTTTGGAGAAGAAGGCTGGCGATGAAGGCAATGCGTCAGGAGGCGAAGCGTTGCTGCAAGCAATCAGGAAGTTTGCAAAGGATCGTGAGCTGGGCATGTTCTGCCTGATGACGACGTCGACGTCTGCGAGCGGGCAGTTTGAGCGAGAGCTCCTTTTGTGGGCTTTCAACAAGCAAGGAGTATCAGCTGCCAAAGGCTTTGCCACGACTGCACGCGAGGAACTTGGTCTGGAAGATTGGCAGGGTTACAGCGACCTGGACAGTGGAAGCGAGTGGAGAAAAGTTTGGTGGCAAAGACAAGTCCAGCACAGCCGGAAACGTGTCGCGCCGCTGCTCAGGGAAGCCATGGCATGACTATGGTGGGCGGGTAGCAAGCTGTAGTGGGGAGTGTTAGACTGGTAGACGTACATAGGGGCGGAGGGTACATGGCAGGGTAGCAAGGGGTGTTTTTGGGCAAGGCGCTACGCCGAGAGGGCGGAAGGGGAGTGGATGGGATTGGTGTGTGTTTGCATGTGTTTTGCATTGAGCAGTGTATGTAAGTTTGGTAGTGGCATGTAGATTGGAAGGGTGCATAGCAACGGTTGGGCAGTGCGAGGAGGGCATTGCTTGGGCTGAGGTTGGGTAAGCGGGGTGGGGTTGTGGTTGTGTTTGGGTGGTGACTAAGTAAGAAGCGGTCTGCCGACAACGGGGCTAGCGGTGGTCGCGGGGTATTCTGTCGCACGCGACCGGCAGATGGGATAGTGGTCGAGGTAGAGGATGTGCAAGTGCAGGCATGCGCACACGGGCAGAGGGGTCGGCCTGCCTTTTTTGCGACTGCAACGGTTCAGCCGAGTGGGCGATGGGTAGGCAGGCCAGGACAAAGATAGATGGACACGTTAGCATGGCGTAATCTGGCGGTGGCAGGCGAGGCAGGCGGCGAGTCGCAGGTCAGGTGCGAGTGCATGAGTGCAGCAAAGGCGCAAAAGGAACACGTTTGGGCGAGCTCGACTGCACGGCATGCGGCACGGCGGTGCGGCTCATTGGACGGGCCTGGCAGAGCAGCAGCAGCGACTAGGGCTGCACTGCAAGATGAAGTGGGAAGACGTGCGGTTCACAGCAGGGCGACGCAATGGTTTTGGCGTGCAGCAAGTTGCATGGGCCTTGTTGACAGCATGCGCAGCGCTTGATGTGCTGGCAGCGCAGGGGCAGAAGACGACTCCACCCGGCCGCCGTCAGGTTACGAGGGCGACAAGCGGCGCGAAGGCGTCATTTGCTGGTGGCTGCCGGCGGCGCAAAGCAGGTGCACATGTAGCCATGGGCGAGGGGCGCGGGCTGTTTGGGCGTGGCCGTGGATGGGCGGGTGCTGTGGTGGTGGCATGTCGTCGTGGCCGTGGAGCAGCAGCAGCAGCAGCAGCAGTCGCAACAACAGGACGCCGCCGCACAGTGGCCGTGGGTGGTGGCAGCGGGCATGGCCTGGCCGGGAACGTGTGGGCGGCGGAGCAGAGGGGGTGCCTGTGCAGCTGAGGCATTTGGGCGGCGGGCGTGTGATTGGCGGGCGGGCGATGTGCTGGTCGTGGCAGGGCTGCAAGTCATCGCCGTGGTCGCCTGGCCCAAGTCGATGGAGAGCAGAGCACAGGCGGTCTGCTCCTCCCAGCTCGCCTCTTGGCCGTTGAGCGTGCACACAGCGACTCGACGCCCCGCCGCCCAATCACGCCCCGCCCGCCTCGCTACGGCCCCCATGGCCGCCAAAAGAGTCAAAGACGCGCCAACGCACACGTCGAGGCTGTCCAGCTGCGCCCAAAGCAGCTCCTCCCCTCCCAACACCATCGCTACATCTGGCCATGCCGTAGCCCATCGCTGCCACTCCATCCTCCGTCAGAGCTGCTCCGCTCCCCCATCATCGGGCTGACACGCCGCCACGGCGAATGGCGAATGGCGACATGATGCGACGAACCCAACTCACGGCCTCGCCCCCGGCCCAGGCCTCAGACACCCCTCTGCGTATGTGCCCGTCTCTACACTCTCTCTCCCCGTGCCCCTCTTGACCCTCTCTGTCCCTCTCTCTGCGTCCCTCCGTGCCTCTGTCTGGCCGTGTCCGTGTGCCCGTGTGCCTGGCCCCGTCCGCTGGTCCCGCGTATCAATGCGCTCTGTACGATGAGCTGGCACTACGACCGACTCTGACCTCACTCGCAGCCGTGTCGCCCACCGTCACCCACTTCTCCTCGAGGAGCCACACGCCCTCGCACCATACTTCTCAAGCAGACGACCCGCCTGCTGAGGCTCCCCCCCGGTCGCCCTCACCTCGCCCTTCCAAACAACACACGGCGACGACCATGGGCAGTCGACCTGGCGCGTCCCTCGACGCCGCTAGCAACGACCGCCATGGCCTCTCCACCCTCCTTCACCAACGGCCCCAGATGGCCGCTTCCATGTCTGCTCCCGCCGGCCGCTTGCCTCGACTGCTCCCCGCCGACCTGTCCTCGTACACCGACTCGTACCTGCCCACCGCAGCCATACCCCCCTCGGCCACTTCGCTCGCTGAACTCGCCCACCTGATCCGCCTCCAGGGCTACCAGGAGCAGCGCAAGGCCCACTCCAGAGTCCGCCTGCACCGATGGCTCGTCTCCAGCGCCCTCTCCGCACGTCTGGTACACTGCGGCGAGCTGGCATACCGCACCCTCGTGGACAACTTTAGGTCCGACGACAAAAAGGCCTTTGCCTCGCTGTACAACGCTCTCAACGACGTCCGCAACTCGTGCGATGCCACACGCCAGTATGCCCTGCTGGAGCCAGACCTGGAGTTTGGCAAGTCCAAGACGACCAAGTCGGACAAGTCCCTCTCGGCCTCGACTTTCCTCAACGATGTTCCCTCGAAGATCCTGGATGATCTTCTAGATTTCATTTCTGAAATTCGCACAAACCCCGAATTTCTTGCTTCTCGCATTTCCAGCCTCTCGCAGCAAGAGCTGGCTGCTCTTACCTCTTTCCGCCAGGCCATGGATCCTATTGATTCAGTCATGGCCATCCAGGCCCGCGGTCGAAACCTAGGCTCCCAAAAGGCCCAGCAGCAAGGCGGCAATCCCATTGAACGGCTCTTGTCCTTCCAGCGCCACGATCCACTCTCTGCGCTTGTTTACACCATTTTTGCAAATTCATCCGGGCCGGATTCTGCAGAGGACCTCCGCCGTACCGACGTTTGGGCCACCGTCTGCGCCAAACTGATCAAGGATACCAAGATTAGCCACAACTTTATCAGGACCATTCTCGACGTCTGGGCAGGCATGCGCGAATGGCCCGGAAAGGCCAACCTGGAGCTTTACCTCATGCAAACCCTCCAGGACGGTCAGTTCCTCCTTGAGAAAGCCGAGGAATCAGGTGTACGGGCTGGAGCACAGCCAGTGCCTCGTAGTACCAAGGACACCATTGCTGCAGACGAGTTCTTTGACAAAGCTGTTAAGCGCTTGTTTGAAGTCGTCGATGACGAGCCCAGTGCTGGTGGCATTCCAGAGGGCGTCTTGGAAATCGGAAACGCCATCCTTCGCAAGTTGAACGAGGAGAACGAAAGAGGAGCCCGCAAAGCATCGCAAAACTTTTTTGTTTCTCGATGGCTGTTTTCTTCCTTCCTTTTGAACGCAATCATCCACCCCGAGGCAAGTTCCTCCCTCCTTCGGCATTATCCGCTACAACACTAACCATTTGGCAGACGCACGGCATCATGATTGGTCACCACATCAGTGAACATGCCCGCCAGAAGATTCTCAAGGAAATTGCCATCAGAGCCCAGAAGCAGGTGCTGGACATGACATACAACTGGTACGGGCTTCTTGGCAAATTATCCAGCAAATCATGTTACTAACTTTACGTGCAGGAAGCAGCAGATACCCGTCCTTCCGGAAATCCGCACCCACATTGAGAGCATTCTGGCTCGTTTCAAACACACAAAAACACCATCAAAGCCCATCTTACTCCCTGCCAAGGCAATCACCTCGCCCAGGGAAACGGTCGAAGTGCAACCCTTTATCGTCCTCTCTCCAGCTGATATCATCACACTGGTCAATGCGCTCTTCCCAGAGCGTCGCCCCTCATCGAGCCACATGGACAACGACAGCCAGCGCCGTGCTGGCCTAGCATCATCCGCTTCTTCAATGTCTGGCATGTCTGTTCCATTCCGCAATGCTGCCGCGTCTATGACCGACGCAAGCTCCATTCTCAGTGCTAGTGCTTCGTCCATGACAAGCGATCAGACTTCACGCGAGCCACTTTTGGACAACAACACGACGCCAGTTGAACAGCAAACTGACACCAAACCAGCCCCGACAGAGCTTTATGGAAAGCGTCTGCGCATGGCTTGCTCAGAGATGACTCGCATCCTCGGCGCTGAAGCTGCATCTGGCTCATGCCATCCATGTGCTGAGCGATGGGCTGTCTTGTACATCTCCGCCGATGGCAAGCAGCTCAAGCCACGCATGCGCAAGGATTTTGATGACGAAGAAGAGCATGACGATGACTCTCCAGACAGCGACAGCAGCGACGATGAGGGTACTACGGATAGATTCGATCTCGGCCACGATTATCACCAACTTAAGGAGGCGATTGTCAAGCTCGTCGAAGATTACGAAATCCCCAAGACACTGGCTCCGGATAGCGAGTCAAAGAATTTCAGCAACCGTATGACGACACGCAGAAGCGCCCGTGGACGCGGCCCGATCCGCAACATTAGCGAGAATCTCGGATCTCGCAATCCATACAACTCAAACCAGAGCCACAGCCAACTCACAAACATGATTGCAAGCCAGAGAAGCGGTTCCTCACGCCGTTCTCCCCAGATTCCCAGGAGTCACAGCAACCCGCAAGTTGGCGAGAAGCAAGAGAACAGCTCGGTGCTGGTTACCATGTTGGAGACAGCAATGTACCAATGCCAGGCGCGCTCCGATTTCGTCAATGCGCACATGTACTACAAGACTCTCCAAAGTCTCCGAAGACTCAGTTCTCCATCCCTGGTCAAGAATGGATACGCAGCTCTTCTCAACTACTTTTCTCGTGGTCCCAGAGATTTACTCAGCAAAGCAGCCAATGCCATTGAAGAGTTCGAAGCATGGTTTGTGTGGCTCAAACAGTCTCAGGAAAGGTCCGACAATATGGTCGACGAGATGATGCTCACGTTCAAGAACCTGAGAGACAAGATGTGGTACATTACCGATGTCCGCACTTCCAAGCCATATGAAGACGCCAAAAATGTGGCCCTTGCCCTCAAGATCATGGACCAACAATCCAAGACGCTCAACGCCAAGGGCCCATCCGCATCCCGATCCCGCAACGCCAACAGCTTCTTGCGACAAAACGAAGCTCAACTGGTCGACCTCATGGCGGCTTCACAGGATTTTGGTGGTCCGAACAAGCTCTCAGACGAACAGTCGGAGATCACCCTAAAGTGGCTCATGCAGTACGGTGTTGAGAACTTTTGCAAGGGCGAGGAGCGGATACACCGCTTCTGTCTCGAAGTCGACAAATGCGTCACCAAGGTCATTGGTGAGGGTCTATTAGACGGTCCAGTACTTTGGGCCAGTGATTTGTACAAACGCGACCAACAGATCCTTGAGAGCGGACGGCAAAAAGGTGATCTCTTCCTGACTGGCGTCGGCACCCTCTCTATCGCTGGTGACGAAGAGTACGAAACCCATGGCCGGGCTGGGTCGCGCAACAACGACTTTTCTCAGCGCCCAAGTCATGGCAGTCTGCGTTCGGCCGCCAATGGCAACCGTCCATCGATCTTGGAACAAAACCCCTGGAGCAGGAATCCTGCCGAGTCGTCTGACTACTTTGGCGCATCGTCACCAGTCTTGGCTATCGATCCAGTGGCTACCTTTTGGTCGCCATTCCAGACACAAGCACAATCACCGACAAACGCGACGAGCATTCGCCCACGAACTGCCTCGTCTTCCAAGGGCACTGTCATGCTGAAGCAGTCGGCCACAGTCAATGAGGATAAGCGCCGCTTCATGCTTGACTTGAAGCAGACCCTCACTGGCCTTCTGTTGAGCGATCTCGGAATGATGGTGTTCGCCAACGGCAGTGAGACCGATTCATGGTTCGGTGGTGATTTGCTTGACGACTGTATCGAGCGCCGAGACGAAGAGGAGCGCCGACGCAAGAACAAGCTGGCCAAGAAGAAGAGCACAAAGAACATCCGAAGGCAGACTGTTGACCAACGAAACTTGCCGTTGGAAGCGCTTGGCCGAACAGAGCGCAGCTCAGCTGCACCTCCTGTTGCAACCTTGCAGCATGCCGCAGCTGCCGATGCCCATCAGTCAGCTGGAGAGCATTCATCGACTTCCAGCGATGCTACCTCACGATCGTCGGGCAATGCCACTGCAAAGAAAGCCGGGCTACTCGAGTTCCCATACAACGTTGCCTTTCAACGACTGCTCAGCAGGTTCCAGACGCACCCCAACCCCTTCTCCAAGTTGCATGCGTTGTATGAATTGGAGCTTCTCATCATCGCTTCGTTGTCTTCTCGAACTGGTCGATCCTACAACAATAACAATAACAACATCCGCCGCGACACACTTCCTCCTGTTCCCCAATCACCCACTCTTGGCGCTATGCCAGAACTTAGCTCTCGTGAGCCAGCCACCCAGACTTCGCGCGCACACAACCTGGAAGAGGCAATTGCAAACTGCGAAGAGCGTCGTTCTCAAAGCATGAACGTAGATCGCGTAAGCAATGCGTCGCCACTACCTCGCAACGGCGCTCGCTCTCCAGTCGGCCCGCCAAGCACAGACATGATTGTCGAGGTTATTCAAGGACTCTTGCGAGACTCCAACATTCGTCCCAAGACTCTTTTCAGAGACTTGCAGTTTATCGCATCCTTTGTACCAGCGCAGATGCTCGACAAGACTGCGCGTGGTAAAGCATTCTGGGACGTCGGTCTTGCAGCCCTCGGCCTGAAGCAAGACGTCTGCCGCATCATGGTTGAGCTTGTAGATGAAGTCATCACCCAGAACTCAAAACGCGATGCAGGCAAGGCAAACAGCAGCAGTATGACCGAAAAGGTCGGCGCATCGTCGTCAGCCCTAGGTGACGAACCAATGTCCAAGTACACCATGGAAGATGCAGGACGCATGCTTCTCATCACTGCCAAGGAGGGCGATTCAGTTGCCGAGCGCGAACTCGCCATCTTTTACCTCACCTCCCCCGAACTCATTCACCGCACTGTGCTGCCGCTTACTAAGCCCAGTGAGGTGTTCAAGACTGAGCTTCTGAATCGCGAGAAACGAGCCTCGCAGGATCCTGCACGCAGCGATCCCATGACCATGTGCGTTGCGCAACACTGGATGGAGCAATCCATGAAGGGTGGCGACCAGCTTGCTGCCAAGTACCTGCGCCAGCGAAGCGAGCTGGAGAACATCAACCCAACCAGGGCATAGTATGTCTTTTTGCGCATTTGGTGTTCGACTTCTGCATTGATACCCCCCCGCGTTCCAACCGTTAACTTGAGTTATTTTTGCGTGTTGCGTACACGTAGTTCACGGTCCAGATGATGGATGGTCAGTTTATGCATAGCGAGGGAGTTTCTTAAGTTTGTTATCCCCTGCTTTTTCTTCTTCTTCATTCAGATTTCTAGCAAGCATGATTCCCCCATACTGTTACCTTTTAAAGCCGCTTGAGATGAACTTTTACGTATTTTTCTTTTCCCGTCTGACCCCCATCTTCTTATATTTATACCGGCGCAACGCGACGGGAGCGTCGACACATGATGCTCTGTGTGTGTGTGTGTGTAGAAATCTTAGGAATTGGATGTACGTCCAACGGTAACGCGAACATGGATGGTAGGCTAAGTGTGGATCAAACGACCAGTGAAATGATTTTCTTATTTCAGAGATATCCACAACGAAATGACATGTATGGGAAAAATGACGGGGCAGGTAAAGCCAATGATGTAGTAAGCCACGAATTTCCTTGTTTCTTTACACATTGTCTTCTATTCTCTTCCTTCCTTTATTTCTTTTAATTTTGAGACACAAAGAAGACAGAGTACAAAGTTGAAATTAGGGTGGTATTACGTGTCCCTTTGTGTGAAATGCTGGGTATTGGTAAATATATTGCGATAGATGACTCTCAATTCCCCCCCTCCTTGTTGTTTGGTAAATTTGACTATGAATGAATAGGGTTGAACTGAAGTGCTTTTGAAGTCATGTTTGTTTAGAATGGTGAGGTATGTTGTGTGTCGATTGTATATTTGCAACTCTCAGCATCGGAATTTGGAGATGAGAAGATGTTGCTTGACGGGCATGATGCTGCAAAGTGTAGTTGGGGGACTTGAGTGAAGGGAAGTGGAAGCAGTTCAAATCTAACTCATGCATTTAATACTTCATGCGTACATATTTTTTTTTACTAAAGACAGCTTTTTTTGTAACATCAATACATAATCATTCAAACTACTCGCAACCTTGGTAAATCAGACATACCAGAGTATCGTGCACACAGACCCTTTTGAACTTGGTCATGAGCCTCAAATATCGCGCCATGAGCTCGGCAAAGCAGTAATCGAGCCTCCATCATCATCGTCTTCGGCATAAGCCTGGTATCGTTGCAACGTGCTTGGCTGCCTTGCAGCTGCACGACGTGGGAGTCTGATAGTTGAGGCAGCGTATTGGGATGGGAGTGGCTGTGTTTGCAAAGCGGGTGGAATCTCGCTTTGCTGAGCAGATGACGATGGCTTTTCCTCGGTAGATGAGAGTTGCGAATTGATATCCTTGATTGCGCTGACTAGCGTTTCTGCTTGATGCAGCAAGTCTCCGACGCGAGGAGGTACTGGCGGTGTCTGTTCAACGGCTTCTTCATTGCCGCAGATAGAAGAGGCGCAGGAAGACGGTGCAAGCGACCCAAGTCCTGACGCTAGAGCAACAATTCGCTCTACATCATCGCCATAGCAGTATCCATCAAACGACTCCGCATCGTCGCCCTCACTCCGATTCGAAAGTCCCTCAGACGCCGACCTCTCCACCGCAAACAACTCCTCAACCTCCGCCTCTTCCCCCTCAACATACACCACAAACTCCCACCCTCCCCGCACAGTATTCCGTATCTTAGCCACCCCCTCCTTCAGCATCCCCACCTCATATCCCTCCATCTCATCCCTAACAACCTCCCACTCCTCCACGCTCCGAAAGCACGCCCCATGCACCCACACGCAAACCTCCTCCCCATTGCACCTCCACTCGACCACCTCATGCCCCCCGACCTCCACCTTCTTCCACGTAACCTCGTTCTCCCTGAACCGATACGACTGCCGCACCGCATATCTCTCCCGCCGATCTCTCTTCTGGAATCCGTACACCCAGCGCACAACCCACGCCACAACATGGACGCCAAACTGGAACTCGAGCGCGTCCCAGCACCACTGGAACCCCACGGCTTTGTTCTCCGTGTCGAAAGCCGGCATGCCGTGGCCGGAGTACCATGCTTTTTGCTCCACGGCCGTGAGGTGCTGCGTGCAAGAGAGGCGCAGGGAGATGGTGCGCCGGAGGCAGAGGATGTGGGCGAGGAGGCTGGGGTTGGAGGTTAGGGTGTGTGAGGAGAGGAGGGTGCGGAGGTATGTGCGGAGGTGGGTTAGTTCGGGGGTGCGTAGGGGGGAGAGGCGCGAGAGGGGGAGGGGGAGGGTGAAGTGGAGGGTGGAGCCGGTGGGGAAGGGGAGGGTGAAGGTGTTGGGCCGGTGGAGGAAGGAGTGGGTGGCGTGGGGTGGGGGGCGGGCGAGGAGTGACATTTTGGTGGGGGGGTTTGGCTGTGTAAATGGTTTGTTTTGAGAGTTTAGATTTTTTTTTTTCAGAGTGTGGTTTTTGGATGTGCTGGAGAGCTTTGGTGGTGCGGTGGGGATTGCTGTAAGGGTGGGAATTGGGGAGGTTTTTTGTACTTGTAGTGGAGTTGGCAGGCCTGGTAGGTTGTTTGAGTTTCTTCAATAATGGAAATTCCAGGTTCATAGCTGATTGATGGCGGTTGGAAGTTAGGAAATTGAATGGACGGAATGATTGAATGGATCGAGGACTCACCTGGATATCGCATTAATTGAAGTGTTTTCAACGTCAACAACTTACGTGGCTGTGATTTGTACATTACCCAGTATGTTTTCATGTGGCACACATACCAGAATGAGGTCTCTTTCGGAAATTGAAATCGCGTCTGTTTAGAGCGGTGATGAAGGAGCGGACAGAGAATACTTTGAGAAAATTAGAGATTGGTAAAAGCAGTAACCTGAGGTTGATGACCGTTTTTTTTTTCATCGGTAACGTATCCAACTCACATAGAGGTTTCGACATATCAACCTGTCAAGTACCGATAGATGTTCTAATATATTTTCGGTATTCATTCATGACCTGAAGCGACATGTCTTCCTACTACATAGTACCGAAATCAAGCTGGCTTACGGGTGCTCAATACTACCACCTACCATTCTGCTCTTAGCATTCACCAACGATATTCAGAATACGAATTCAGAATGATCAACTTTTAATTTCAAGGAAGAACTACAATCTCCTATCTTTTTTTCAATCCCCCAAATAACCAACCTCCACTCACGTCCCCATCACTGACCACAAGAATTACTGTTCACTAACCACCCTCGCACCCGGCCTCTCCACGCAAAAGTAAAACTCAAGCGCATCATCAATTCTCTTCAGCGTCCTCTGCACTGCAGCCTCAAACTCCGCATCTCTCGCCCCACGCCCACTCTTCAACCGCTCACCAAGCTGCCTCATGCAATTCGGCCCCAAATCCTCCAGATCCGCCCTCGGAATCGGATGCACAGCATGAATGACGCGCTCCGTACTCTCCCACCTCTCAGGAAATTGCAGTTTGGCGTAGGGATCGACGTCGACGGTGATCTTGGTGTAGTGCGGTGAGGCTTTAACGAGGTCGTCGGTGGTGTAGGGACCCCACTTTATGACGACGTCTTCGAAGTCTTGGGGCGCGTAGTCCCATTCTGTGGCTGGGTGCGCGGGAACTGGGACTGGGTTGCGGTGCATGGGGCCGAAGGGGATGCTGCGGCATCGGTGGTGGCCGTGGCGGCAGACGTGGTTAGTGTGGCGGCAGACATGATGGTTGTGGCGAGACATGGCCATTTTAGATAGTTGATGATAGTTTGAAAGTTTTTGAGAGGGTTGATGGAAAATTTGAGTGTGGTGCTAGGGCCGGATGTTTTGATATTTGATTGATTAAAGAAAATACTTTTTTTTTCGGTATACAAATGAGTGAGCGGAAAGTGTGCATTTATAGGAAAGACAAGGTTGATACTTGTTTTGTGGCGAACGCGAAAGTACAATGGCTGTTTAGCAGGGCAGTCAAAAGTGCGTCATTGGTGACTCAATGAGTGATTGCTCATCGAATCCGCGCGTTGTACCTATGTTTCGCAAGCAAGATATACTGGTAAATACGTGTCGTAGAAATGCACCTGCCATGCCAAAAACAATCCTTCCTAGCCCCACAATCTCTGTGGGTCTCTGTCAATTCTACAAGCTCCAGAAAACACAGTGGTAACGTAGCAAAGATGGGGATAGCTCCTGGTCACAGTGGTTTTTGTTCGACACTGCTGTCACGAATTATGTCACTACAGGGCACGCTATGTTTGAAAAGACAGATACACTTGAATCGAGTGACGGAAAACAGCCACGCCCAAACAGCCTCAGCATAACACATTGGTGGAGAATATGTATTCAACCCATGTTATTTGAACTATAAGAGTGCTATTCAAGTTCAATGTGAACCCATTCACCGCCCTCTGCTGCCTCTCCATCCATCATTCCATCGATGTATGCCTCGCCAACGACCATGTATCTTGTTCCTGTGCGCCTAATAATGAAAGGTGTCTGTGCTCCACTGACCAATACTACAAGATCACCCTTCTCGACAGTCATGCAACTGATTCCTAAATGACCCTTTTTTGTGATGAGAGGCACTTTGCAGTCACTTATTCCTAAAATCTCACCCAGCATTTGATGCATGCGCAAAGGAAATTCCATGATCCTGTATTGGAAAGGGTGTTCTCTCAACCCATTTTGGAATTCGGGGAAACCATTGTTCTCTGTGCAGCTTTGATACCCTTCTTCTAGTAGAGCCAGAGCTTCAGGGAACTCGTGTGCTCTTTGTAGCATGTTGTTTTCTCCAATTCTCATACCTGCGTGCGAGGCTCTGGCTGCGGTTTTCATGCGCTCCTTGACGTTCAAGTATGGTTTCTCGACATAGTATGTGAGTTGCAACATGACGCCCAGCCACTCAACTGGGTGTACGGCTTTGCGCATGGATGACACCCTGTTGACGTGACCCAGTTGAAAGACCTCATCAACTTGTTTGACATATACCAGTAATTTTTCAAGGTTGCGGTCTTTGCCTGGCAAAACGAAATGATATTCATTTTTCGAACCACAGGCGTTATATGTTGGAAAAAGTTCGTCATCACCAACTAACTGCAGCATTGGGGGGTCTGGTTTAGACCAATCTGGTACCCAGGAAGGCAGGCCATTTGGTCTCTTAATACCACAGCAAATTGAGAGAAGTGAGATATGGCCTTTGCGTAGCATAGCAGTCATCGTAGTCGTGTAAACCTCCTCTTTGGACCTGGTGTAATCCGGGAAGACGCCTAAGGCCTCCAAACTATCCTTGTCGTTTACAAGACCTAGGAGAGCAAATATTTTGTCTCGTGGATCAGTTGCTTCAAGAGGCTCCTGGCCGCCCTTTCCCATGTATGCAAAACTATTAAAACTGTTCGTTCGAAGCATTGATAGCAACGAGTACTCTTTTTGTTTATATATTCCAGACATTGACAACATCAGATAAACCTTTGGAGACATAATCGTGAATAGTTCTTGTTGGTAATCCGAGAATGGCCGGTGTTGCATTCCTAGCTTTGAAATTATGCCTGCAAAGGCATAAAAAACTTTAAGGGCAGCGTGAAATCGTTGGCGGGATATTCCCTTCGTTCCGCACACCATTCGAGCTTGTTCCGGCAAAGTGATTTCCTGCAAAACCCAGATTCGGCTCCACCATTGTCGTTTGAAGAGATGATCGAGATCAGACAATCGCAGCAAATAACGATGGGACTCAAAGCCACCCATAACATGCAAGAGAATTCTGAATGCGTGCGAGGACATCGAGAGCTCGACAGGACTGGAAATGGACTCAGTAAGATCACCCTCATCCGGTGCGATTCCCAACATTACTTTCCACGCGGTCAAGCAGGGCGAAGTGTCTGTGGGAAGGCCCAGTGATTCCGAAATCGAACCCAGTATATCGAGATGTTCCAGAACAGCATCACTGTTGTGCGCTGACGGACCAAGCCACGCTATCACTTCAGATGTCTGTCGATAGATGTCGCCCATCAACGCGACTTGCCATCCTTTCTCTTCATCATCCGCCTGATTGATACATATCGCATCAACCCAAATAATGAAACCCTCTGATTTGACTATTCCATTCAGTGCTTCGAATAGGTTCCTGGTCACTTCGAAAGTACATCCGTTTACTAGTATATGCATAGGATTGTTCGTATCTCCCCAAACATATGATAAGGCCTGGTATGGCAGATGCTGGGTAAGACTAGCGTGAAATAGTCGACATGCGGGCTGGGAATCGTTCGGCCATTGACTTTTCGGGAGTAGCTCTAGAAGCCTGATCTCGCGCCTTGACTGGTCCAGCTGCTGGTGGTGGAACGCGACTGTCATGATCGATCAGATGAAAAATTCGCTGGAAAACTATAATCACATATGTTTCTGATTTGTCGGGAAGGGAAGTAGATAAAAAATGATACTGTGCTATAGATAAACACACGATACTGTAAGGCTGTGTACATAGGTGCTGGGTGCCTAAAAGTGCGGGGCCTGTTCATTCACCCCGCCAATCAAACTTAATCCCATTTGCCAGCATGAATATTCCCTTCCTGGAATCATCTTTAGGCTACCAAGGATAGCCTCCAGAATTATGTATAAACTTGCCCACCTCTGCGTCCCTCTTTCCCTCCACAAGTTCCATGATACTGTCGACCGTCTTCTCAGCACTTCGCGCACCAAACTCTTGCTTGTTGTACGGCCCAAGGTTAGATACTGTGAACCCAGGGTCAAAGCAAAAGACCTTAATTCTCGCATCTGTTCCTCCTACAGCCCCGGTGTCGTCCTTGCCTGACTCTGGCTCTGTCGCATCGGTTTGTTTCACGCCCAGTCCAAACTCAACGTACAGACATGCAGTCAGCATGTTGAAAGCTACCTTGCTTGCACGATATGGAATGCCTTGAATCTTGTACATTGGGCTTTCCGGGAAGAGTCGCCGACCGATACTCCCAGCACCAGAAGATATATTGATGATCCTGGGGTTCTCGCTTTTCTTGAGGATGGGTATGAGCGCTTTTGTGAGGAGCCACGGACCGGTGGCATTGATGTCGAAGGCTGCAGCCATCCTTTCGCGTTCCGTTGCGCCTTCTGGAAGCGCGACGGCGGCGTTATTGAAGAGAATGTCGAGTTTGCCATGCTTTTCTCGAATATATGCAGCGGCTTGATTTATATGGTCGTCGCTTTGCACGTCGAGGTGCATCAGCTCGGCGCTGCCAGGGAGGTTGCGTGCTTGCAGGTCTTGCAGGGCCGCGGAACCTTTGCTGGTGTTGCGAGAGCCCAGGAAGACGTGATACGTTCCTTTTTGGAGAAGTTGATGTGCTATCTCGAAGCCAATTCCAGAATTTGCACCGGTGATTAGGGCAATCTCTTTGGCAACAACGGATGTCATGGTGTTGGCTTTGTTGGTGACTGCTTTTATCTTCAGAATGATTATTGGATCTGGTGTAAGAGTATAGAAAGGAAGTAGTGAGACTTTTCGAACATGTCCTGCCAACGTAGCTTTATGTACATGTTGCGTTGTGGTTGACTTGCATCCTTCGCGGAGATGTACATTGTAAGTCCGGCTCACTTAACCTAGCCTACGTACTATCCGCGGGCTTTAGAACTCAGATCGCAGATCTAGTACACTCTATGCACGATCTGCCTAGTTCTCTGTTGGATTTAGCCATTGTGTAACACAAACGCCGGGCCTAGGTCGCGAAGGCCGCCGGGCGTTTTTTGCACTTGGATGCGAGCTAACGAAATCAAGACTAGAAGATTTGCACTTTTCAAAACAGAACAGATTGCACGTGATGTGTGAGAAGGTGTGCAGTTCTCGCAATTTAATGTTCCTAAATCTGGCCCATGATCGCAAACTTGATCAGGGACTTTTCATGATTGTAATGCTAATAACAAAAATGCCAAAATCTCATAGCACGACGCCCGTCTGCCCCCGCGCTCGAGGTGATAGTGAGTCTGCTCTCATCTCCTTCGTAGCAGCTTTGGACAGATTCGATCGATTCTGTTGCGTTAGCTCTCTACCACGTTCAGTCAATTGTAGTTGTGGCATGTCTCTTCGCACTGCAGCGATTCCACCTTTTACGCTGTTCGCAGTGATTCCTCTGGCTCGAAGTATACTTGTAGCAACTCTTGATGTGTCTCCGTCATAGCATAGCACATACACCTGCTTGCCGGCAAGATCGTAAGCGCTGATACGATCGGGCGTGAACGTAGCCTCTAGCTCCTTCCATTGAGTCTCGAGTATTGCAGCATCGAGGAATGGACTGGGCATAGAGGCATTGCAGCTCTGCAGTGGTAAGTTGCATGAGCCTGGTATATGAGTCCTGGCGAAGTCCTCTGGTTTTCGTAGGTCAAGTATGACCGTCTCATTGCTGTCACCTTGCGCTGTGCTGGTGAATTGCGAAAGTAATTGCGTAGGCTCCAGTTCCCAAGCGTCATCGTAACGGTAAAGGTCGACTGCTGTGAGATTCTGTTTCCGTGTCAGAATTGCACCGAAAAAAAAGAGAAGATAACCATACTTCATTGTGAATAGGCGGGAAAGCTTCGGCGCCAAGCTTGTCGAAATACTCATCCACGTACTGGATAGGGAGATCACAGCATATGAAGGCACAATCGATGATTCCGTTCGAGCCAGCAAGTTCTTTTAGGGTACCAGCCGCTTTTCGCTTGCTCAAGTAGTTGAAGAGTCCTTCTACTGTCAGTCATTGCTGTACAAACAGATGATTGACGTACCTTTGAGGTTGAAGCCGGACGATGGTCCACAGATAAGGCCTTCGCGGCAAAGCTGCAGGCTGAGGCCGAATGCGTCCTTTGAGCCAACCTCCTCGATAGCATCTACAGAATCGCGCCAAGGAAACTCGACGGGAGCCAGTAGCGCAAAAGAACGGGGGCCAGGAACTCGATCACCAGGAGCTGTACACACACTAAGCAGTATATTAGTTCCTTTTCTAGATGCACCAATGACAAGCACGTCAACATACCCCAAGCGAAATACCGACGGATCCTGAGCCTTGAAGTATTGTCCTAAGCCTGTCATAGTACCTGATGTACCTATACCAGCACATATCAGTCGAATGTTGGGCAACTGTTCGAGGATCTGAGGACCGGTCCATCTGACGTGAGATTGCCAATTCTGCAGTATTTAGTAAATGTCTGAAAGTATTGCATCATGTAAGTAGCATACTGCATCGTTTTCATATTGATTCAAGTTCAAGACTGATTCATCCTCTTCAGCCATCTTCTTGGCCCGTTGTATACCTCCGCGGCGATCTGTAGGATCGGGTTGTGACGGGCCTCCGAATAGTGTTCTTTCACAAAGTTCAGCTGGGGACCGTGGAGAATCAGCGGCATACTTACATGTCCAGCCCAAAGAACTGCATGAGCCGCAGTTTAGGGCCGCTGGTCTTGTTGCTCAAGAAAGCACGCGTGTCTTTAATTCCGTGGTTGATCCGTGAAAGTAATGCAAGTGAAATGACGGTCGATCCGCTTGAATACTCGACAACGGTCTTTGACTTTTCTGGCCGCACTCCTTTCTCCAACATATTCAAAGCCGGCATGACCTTGACGTTGTTTGCAGGATGCATGGACATCATTTTGGCGTGTATGCGAACACCGTCATCGTAAAATGGGTTCAGGTTGGGTGGTAGTTCTACGAGTGGAAGCATTGGCTGACAATCAGGGTCAAAATAGTTCCGAATCGCATCGGGACCCGAGTAGGCGTTCAGATAGTTTCGTTTACCCATTTTTGTATTCGAATAAATTTATGATGGGTAAGGCATGAGGTATGTGATAGTAGAGAAACTCTCCTCTTTAAAGTGAATGCATTCATCGGGCCTACCCGACCAATGCGGACGAAAAACATGCACATCATTTTTTACTCCGTGGTCGCGGCTGTAGGGGCCATGGCATCCACCATGGTTCTGAGAAAATAACGCTGCAATATAGTTGTTACATGATTACGGTATAGTCGGTGTTCATACCTTGATGGTTTCTAAGGCATATTGAGCACATTGTGTCGAATCGAAGACACAGGGTGAACAGGCGTTTTTTCTGTTTACAGAATAGCGTTGACAGGGTAGTACGTACTCCCTGTTCGCCTCAGCATCAATGACCTCCGGCCAATCCGGTTCACATATGGGTCCTATCTGGTAAGTCGGAATACCACGATCATTCCATGCATGCTGGGGTGTATTTTAGGGTGCTCAAGTGGCAAGCGGTCAGACCATTCAAAAGCAATGTAGATTGGGCATGATGCACTACCCATGTGTATAGCCTGATGATCGACGAACCAGTGTGTCGTGTACTAGTAGTAGTAATACCGTACTAGTACACCGCTAAGGGCTTTGGCATCCAATGAGCATCTTAGTGGAGCAAGTTTGCGCACGTTTTTGTCGCCATCTATTGACGCACAATTCTAGACTGCTGGAAGATTCCCTGAGCAAGTGCCGGCGATACTACACGAACATGGGCTACTTTTCAAAGGCCTCGGCTTGCAGAGACCGGTAAGCACCTTATGTATAAGAAATTGGTGCTCTTAAGCCCTTTGGTTCCAATTACAGTGTGCGCTGTCTGTGTATGTCCAGGCCCGGTGATATATAGCATCCCCTAAGAAACTTGGAGGGATTGCAGTGACGACGGTGGCTGCCTTTTCCTCCTCTCTTCTTCAATCGAATGCCCGAGACTGAGGCACCCGGTCTTGAGTACACCATGGACACTAAGCCAACTCCTGAAGTTGAACCATCCCCATCAGACGAGGAAACTGGGCCGAGGTTCAACGAGCAAACTAACTATGTGCCGGTCAAGACTATCATTACTGTGAGAGTGCTTGCATCCAATATCTTTCCCTGTGCTCATCAAACTAGATATTCCTGGCCTGCGCAAGTATTGACTTGCTAGCATTGTTAGACCAGACTACTCTTGGAGCAAGTTTAACCATTGTCAGCAAAGCTCTTGACGCTGACAATGAGCGCGCATGGATTGCAGGCGCCTACTTTCTCACATCGACGTCTTTTCAGTTACTGTATGGCCGGCTTTCCGATATATGGTCTCGCAAAGTCATCTTGATCGTTGGCATCGCAATCTTCTTCTTCGGCTCATTAGCTGCGTCATTGGCACAGTCAGCCGTTCAGCTCATCATCTTCCGCGCATTCACGGGAGTTGGAGGCGGCGGTCTTATGACAGTCGCACAACTAATAGTTTCTGATATAGTACCACTTCGTGAAAGAGGCAAGTATCAAGGCATACTGGTATGTCAACATGCTATCCATGCCGAAGAAAGTATCTCACGTTACCATAGGGGTCTGTTGTAGCATTAGCCAATGGAATCGGACCAATCATTGGAGGTGCACTCGCCTCGCAAAGCCCAGACTCTTGGTAACACCTTCCAAAGAACCAAATTCACCATGTGCTGATTGCGTCACAGGCGATGGATCTTCAGGCTAAATCTTTTCACAAGTCTCTTGGCTACTGGCGCGGTGATCTTCTTTATGCCATTACGCAAAGTTCACGGTGCATGGAAAGAGTAAGTTGTTAGATCAGTCTCAGAATTTAATGCTAAGAGAACAAGGAAAGTAGCAGCTATCGACTTTTTTGGAGCTTTCTTAGCCCTTGCCGGTTCCACGCTACTCGTGGTATGTATCTTCTGTTCCATTCAGTATGCTAAAGCTTACCAGTAACAGTTGGCGTTGACATGGGCCGGTGGTGAGTACCCGTGGGAATCTGCTCACGTTGTCGCCACTCTTGTTGTTGGAGTAGCAGTCTCCGCAGGTTTCATCCTATGGCAATGGAAAGGCACTAGTGTGCCGTTAGTTTCGAGTAAGTTATGGCATCGGATCAAGTTGATAGATCCTATCATTTATCATGCAACTGCTATGAATGACTTTTACTGATCATCTTTAGTGGAAATCTTTACCTCCAAGGTTGTCAACGGGGCCATGTTGACCATGTTTGTTAATGGTTGGAACTTTCTTGTCCAAATCTTCTACATTCCATCATTTTACCAACTGGTATATGGTTATTCAGCTGTGAAGTCTGGAGCACTGCTGCTACCTATCACACTTACACAAAGTAGGTGTCTCTAGTTGCCCAGGAAAAAGTAGATGGTTGCTGATAGAAAATAGCACTCTTCAGCACACTCTCAGGTCTTGTTGTGCATTGGACTGGACGTTATCGAGAATGTCTTCTCGTAGGATGGGCAGTGTGGGCAATTTCGCTGGGCTTACTATCAACGCTTGATAGTCCTTCGCTTGGAAAGCAGATAGGATATTCCCTTCTTGCTGGTTTTGGACTTGGAAACACACTGCAGCCAAGCCTGATTGCCGTACAAGCAGGAGTCGAACGCAAGCACATGGCAGTCGTTACAGTAAGATATATGTTTATGCCTCTTTGACATTATTACTCAAAAACTAACACTGAATACAGTCAACACGTAATTTCATACGCAATCTGGGCGGCACCCTAGGATTAGCCATTGCAGGAACTATCGTCAACAATGCTGTTCGGCATTCACTAGCGCCATACGGCCTCTCCAGAAAAGAACTGAACCTACTTCTTAACTCGCCAGACCTATTTCGCGAGTCGGTAGGAACACAGCGTATGGATCAGATTCGCGTCTCACTTACCTTGGCATACAAGGACGGCTTTCGAATCATCTTCATTGTGGGCGCGGCTCTCAATGCAATTGCCTTCGTCGCTGCTTGGTTCTTGATGCCTCAGGTAGAACTTGCACGGAAGGATGATGCTCAACTAAAGGAAGAAGGCAAGAAGAGGCATGAAGAGAGGCGTAATAAGGCCTCTAAAGTCTAGAATAGCTGTTTGTTGCTATGCCACTCCTGTGATCAGCTTCTATTCCAGACCACCTATCAATTTTGAGACAATCATGTGTTCTTTCGCAAGTTAGTTCTTCTGTGTCATAGCACAGCGGGCTTTAGAAAAGAAACTCGGTATCATTCCCGCTGGTTACATCGCGACAGTTGGCATATTCAACATGCAGCACCCCTCAAGCATCCTTAAGCGGCCAATTGATACCCTTATCCTTCGCTCCCGAGTTACCCAACCCTGCGCAATTATACATGCCTACAGGGTTATTTTCCACAGCTCTGATGTATTGTAGATCAAGGCACTGCTTGGTACCCACACTAGCCTCGAGTGCAATGCGCCCATCAGCCATGGCAATCCAAGTCTGAGACTCAGCCTTGGGTGCGCATTCACGGAGAGAAACAAGCGCCATATCCTTCCACCCTGATTTAGGGCCGGCGTCCATGCACAGAGTCGTGGAGGCAAGTTGGATCGAGGTGCTGTTTGATGGTGCAACAAGATACCATGTTTGTGAAGGAGAGTTGGTCAGAGATTGGCTTGTGGGCCGACTTGTTAGCCCATGTTCACAATCTAGATGTGTAGAGAGTGCGCAATGGTAACTTACACTACAAGAGATGCGCCTGCGGTGCGCGATTTTGGAACGACGACGAATTTGCCATCTTGGGCTGAGGTGATGTAAACAGTGCGGTGGCCTTCTGGTGCTTGGGCGAGGCTTGTTGTCACAAGTGCAAAGCCAAGGATAATAGTAGACAACATGGCGATTCAGTGAAGTTGCTGTGAAATAGCTACAAGACGAGGCATATCGAGATGTTCTTTTGAATTGCTCGCTTCCATGACTTTTCTCGCTTGGCTAAAGTCCATGCTTGATTAAAGTGTAGATATATGTACCGAAGGTGGGGACGAAGCGGACGGCAGTTGTGAATGTGGGGAGCATCATCCACCACAGTTCAAAGATATCATTCATGTAATTTGATATTTACCCATTAATATCTCGTCTTCGGTAATTACACGTCCATGGCAGCCAGAACAAATTGTTACCGCAAGAATTCCTATTCGCGTGACAGATTGGATACAATGCTCCCAATATCGAAGATATGTTATTTGACAGTTGCTTAATACACACCAGCTTACCCAACTTTTGGTAGTGTTTTCACTTTCAGCACCAGTATGTATGATCACTCGGCATTATGGTAGGAATAGGGCCCCATTTCAAGGAGATTAATAATTGCAGCATTTCTGCATGAACTGGCTGGTTCACCCACTTTCCCTCTCTATCTCTTGCATGCCGCTGTTTTCATTTCATGACTAATGAGTTTTCTCTTCCCACGGTTTTTCTTTTCTTCATGCATTGTTTCTGACATATGCAAACCCCAAAAAGCAAACGGACCAGTACCAATAGATTCCCCCTGAATCCACGCATGACCTCGCTCTTGTTTACTCATCTGCGTTTTGATTTCCTCAAGTTAAATTTGTTTACAGCGCTTGCGAATTGCTGTGAGACATTTCTAATTTAGCATCCAGAGATGCATTGACTTCCTTTTCTTTCTTCTTCCACAACCACCACGTGACTAGCATGACTACGAATGTAAGTACAAAAGTGACTAGAAAATATAGCCATAGCCAAGAAGAGTACATGCGCCCATTCAGATCGTTGTTGAAGTCGAAAAACGTGGTGCTGAAGAATGTCTGGAGGGGAGCTGTTAGCAAGCATACGGCGACATACAACCCAATCATGGCTTACAGCAGTAAATGTGGCGGGAAGAAAGATCATTGTCATTGCGGCGATGATCTTCATTATGGCACTATCACGTGATGTAGAAATGGCTACACTTTGCGAAGATCGTGCCAGGCTAGTGCTAGTACTGGCCAGACTGAGACTGGTCGCTGCATCGCGTTGAGCAATGCCGCTGTATATCTGTGACAATAAGAATGGCTTTCAGTACTATTTCCATCAACAGTAGTACTTACGGTCTGAACTAAAGCTTGACCTCTTTTAGAAAGATATTCGGTTCTATCCTGCAGTCCGGCATTCCAAGCGCGCAGATGTTCATGCGTCCCCGATAGTAAATCTATGATATGCGCAATATCTTTCTCTGGCTCACCGTGGGCCATAGCTTGTTGTCGATATCGATCTGTAACCTGGTTCAGGAAATCAAGCAAACGCGCAGTGCTTTTGCACGACCAAGCGATATATGCAAGCTGGGTGTTTGCTGCATTTAGAGTCCTTGAAAGTGCCGTGAAGTCAAGATTCGCCAGGTCAATACTGTCATGGTGATCGTATCGGATGCCTAGCGCTCGTTCGTGCCAGTAGATCTCGTCATGCCACCGGTCAATGACTTTGCCTAGTTGGGAGAGGTTATGTTGAACAATCATACTGGGAATTATAAAGGCAGATTCGTTTGCAGCACCCTCTTCGACATCGCGAGCGAAGCGGTCGTAAGTCTCCGTTGCTAAGCCATGCATGAAAATGTACATCTGGCGACTGGGGAAATGATATGTAAGCGAAAGACCAGCGCATACATAGTTCATCGCCCCAGGAATAGATTGTATGACGAAGCCTGTCAGGATGTATTTAGAGAGACTCACTGTGCATGTTTTCGCTCACTCACTGAGATAGTTTTCCCGAATATCGTGGAGCGGTAAATCGGATAAGTGGGCGGGTATTTGAGGTTGTGTAAAGGAACTGACCAAGGCCCTTTGATCCAGTGTACTAGGATAGACGTCTGGTATGCGTGCAAATGGCGCAATCAATGTGTACATTTGTAGAGACAAAGAGATTGGCGTTAGGCTACCATCATACAGCCCTGCCCGCTGTGAACAGCTATAGATTCTATGAGCAATTTTCTACTAGAGCTGAGAATAGGTATGCACACAATAATTTTATTGTCTCGTGGTCTGGCTGTTTTGAAGAGCTAGGCTGCGTTTTTGGTTGTGTTTGAAAATCATTGTGGATGTATGTCTCAACCAGACTTTTTGTAACCTGGGATTTCCATGAACTGCCATCACTGCGTACCTCAATCAGCGATACGGGAGCGTTAATATCTTCAACAAAATTCTCTGGTTTATGCTTGATCTTTGTGTGTGACCATGGCGCTGCTCTGCGGATTGAGCTTCTCATCTTCACTGTGGCAAGGCTGAAGGTGGCACGGAGAAGGTTCTGAAGACCTTTTTGGAAAGTTTGGGCGAGCAGGAGCAAAGAGAGTTAGAATACTTTTCAGAATGTTGTATAAAGAAAGCAGCTTGAAGACATGTAGTTGAAGCTGTTGGACAGCCTTGGTGGGGGCAGCAACAACTGGCGGCTAATGATTGGTGCTTGTTAACGAAAGACTGGCGATGGCAGAGCACGCTATACTCTTTGTGAGAAAAGTGTACGCCTCATATTTTTGATAAGATGCGGGCATAAAGACAGCGGGTGTATGAACATGTGCTGCATAGAAAAGCGATTTGCATGGCATAGGTCCACTTATTGTGTGACTGTATGACGGCGTCAGCAGTTAAACACTGACAAGAAAACGTATGCATGTATCCAAGGTGCGCAACTCACTGAAACGACAGTAGCCGACACATAAACATCGCCCCCTGTTAGTAGTCAAATCTACACTGGTTCGTTTACTAGACAAAGGTATTTTACAGCTGATTGCGCCAGCAGAGGCGCGATAAGACAGTTTGAGTAGTTGGTAGTTAGTGCCTTGCATCAAAGTTCCAACACAGGCAGATCCAGACAGGCTGACATGATGCACTCTGCTGTGGGCATGGTCATCAGAAATTCTTCAAATTGGCCAAGGTTGAACTAACAACTTAGGATAGTGTGACGGGAGGCGCCGGTCAGTGATTCAGCCGTAGAGGCGTCATTTCTACAGTTTGAGCTAAGTTTAATAAACTTGTCACGCCAGTGTCACTCTCTATGAGCCGTTCAAGTGTGTTTCTTGGAAGACATCTTACAATGAGAAGATGAATGTAACACGGTGACTGTGGAACATATCAGCGGTCTAATTGTAATAAATTGAACCGAATGCGGATGATTGCATTTATCCCGCATGGACATGAATAGCCTATCGTACCACGTATGCCCACCCTCATACCATTAAGTTCAAGATAAGATGAGTTGAAAGTGTATCTTACAGTAAGATGACCTGTACATGTAGCGGGAATAAGTACCAGGATTCTAAGATTACCACGTCCTGAACAAAGTTCCGACGCTATCGTACCCACCACACTTGATCATAATAGCGCCGCAGTCAGGAATAACTATTGGTGCAGAACAAGGATCGAGATTCTGCACGCGGGCCGCAACCGATTTAGTTTGCCAGATGACGCAAAAGAGTCTTCCGGCGAGACGCTTACCCATCTTAGTCGGATTCGGATAGCATGAGCTGTGCGGCTTGATAACACTGCCAGCCGACGTGAAAAGAACCATGGCGGCAACTCAACCAATACAAAAAGAAGATAACGAAATGAAGCAAAACACTATGTTTGGGTGATGATGAAAAGAAAAAGAAAGTAAGGACAACAAGAACAAGACAATTTCCGACTCTTGTCCACGGAAACCCGCGGGCTACAGTCATCATTAATTACCCATTCCCAAACTTTTCCCGATGGTAGACACAAGCATGACATGAAGCTGGCACGGGAAAGAAACATCCCACTCACGTGACACGACCTCATCTCCACAACTCCGAACCCTAACGCGACGATCAAACTCTAACCCGTCCCCCAATAAAAAAAAACACAGCCCGCCCCTTCCCTTCCCTCCGCCAAAAAGAAAGAGCACGGACTGAATGATTTGCTGCAGGTACCAACAGCTGCGGTTCGGGGTGCGAGGAACCCATTCATGAACTTATGCAGTCTAGTCAGGTACACGCGCGCGGGCGGAGTCCCCCAAGGGAACGCCAATAGGGAAAAGCGATTAATGTTAGTTTCAAATAGACTAACGATGTGGATTGATGGGATCCAAGGGAACTGATCATGGGGGGAGCGTGGGGGGATGTTCAGCAAAAGGCGACAATGGTTCACCCCAGGGCAGTGTACAAAGTAATAACAGCGGTGAAAGCTAAAGCAATTACTTGCGTTGATGGGGTCCAACGGTGGTGCGCGCGCGTGTGTGTATGTGGATGGAAAACAAACAAACAAAACAGATGGATGGATGATCGGGGGGGGGAAGCAACGCGTTATCGCGCGTCTACGGTACAACAACGAACCTCCTCCGCATACGCGTGTTGCAAAAAGACCATGAAAAGGCAACATATCAAATTGGCCTCTCTCTCTCTCTCGCGCGCGCGCGCGCACGATAAAACGAGAGCGAAAACTCAAATAACCCATCATCACCTTTTTGTCGTCCCATAATCCATGGAACACAACTCCCCCCCCCCTAACACTGCTACGGAAACGAAAATCACCTTTTGAACAAACAGGGTCCGCACTAACTTGACTTGCGCAATACACCACTATCAAAGGGTCCCTCCCTCGGGAGCGCGCGCGAGAGAGAGAGGGAGGCAGAGAAGGATCCCGGAGATTTCGTGTGAACCCATTCCACCCGCATCCGTCCCTTACCGCTCTTCCTTGCCCATCCCCCCCCCCCCCCCGGTGCTTTCCCTTGCGCGCGTATTGCCGTGGTAAATACAGGGAGCGGACATTATGATCGCTTTGCGCCGGTTGTGTGGAGACACACACGGAGAAAGGACCCACACACCAACGATCATGCCATCGTATTTTTTTTTCTGGGGCGCACAAGCCACGCCAGGTCCGTGTGTGCATGTGTATTGTGCTGTGCAGAGAGAAAGAGGGTCAAAGTGGAGAGAGAGAAGGGGAGAGGGGGTGTGTTCTTCTATCGGCCCGTTTATTGAATAGCGAAAAGAGAAAGACGTGAATCATGCGGTGTTTTTGGTGCTGACTCGTTTGATTCGTGAGAGGGCGTAAACGAGGGAAGAGCGGATCTAAGGAAGGTTTGGAGAGCGCTGACACGTGAGGGGAGGGAGGGAGGGGGGAAGTGGGAGGCGTGATTTGGGTTGGCTAGAGACGGAGAGAGGGAAGTGGGAATAGTAGTTGCAAAGGCGTTTCTCAATGTACAATTGGAATTGCGGGCTTGCCTTGAGGAGGGAAACAAAAAGTGGCTGTGTTGAGCAGGCGTATGCAAAACGCGATGGTACTAGCGGGTTTGCGCGCGCGTTTGTGCGTGTGTATGTGCCACTAATAGTAACCGTGTTTTTCCCTTCCGAGGGCCACCGCCGGCCTCCAAGGCATGAACTTGGCACTTTGGTAGAAACACCAAACGTACATAGCATAACAACAATGCCTTACATGCATATACCCTTGATCTATTATGCCTTCAGCTGCCCTTCTTGTATCCTGTAACAGAGGCGGAAGAAAGAGAAAAGAGAACACGTATGAGTTATACACTCCGTCTATCTTTACCTACTTTTGCCTTCCTTCCCGGGTCTTCCAAGCAACAGGGGCGGCCGCAAATACGAAGACTGGGGGAGAAAAACCCACACGGCTACTCTCCCGCCGCACTGGGAGAGATAAGAAGAAGTGGGAAAACAAGAATTGCACGCGGCGCATAGCGCGGGTACGCTCGTAAATCGAAATCCAAGACACACACAAAAATAAAAAGTTGCGGTTGTATAAGGGACAGATAATGCAGACAAATGACATCATCACGCGTCTCTTATCGACGCCCAACCAACCCGAGTTCTGTGTTTGCAGCCTCACCCTTCAATTGCAAGTATGGAAAGCTGTGTAGAGAGTACTGTACACTGGAGTTACTTCTTCCATGTCAACGCGACCACGCCTCTTTCGCACACGCAGCCTGCAGTTTTGTCGCGCGGTAACAAAGCCATGGTAGTCCACGTAGTCCTTACGCGTAATTAAGCCGTTGTGCAGATTGTCGCAGCAAAGAAACGTTTCTGCTCGGTTTAAACTAAAAAAAAAAGTCAATTACAACAAAGGAAATGGATTGACATGTAGATAACGGGATATGGAGGCAGTGCAAAGTTGCAAGTTGCAAGTGTAGTGCCTTTGGTTGGTGCTTGGCGTGCCGAGGTGCCAAAGTTTGTCGTTTTCTGATGCGGGGCAATTGGAATCGCAGTCAGAGAGAGAGAGGGGAGGATGTCTTGGCGCGTTTGGGGTAGAGTAACATGTAATGCCGTCATTGCATGGATGCTTGGTTAGTGAGGCGATGCCGTTGATGCCGTGATTAAAGAGAAAAAAAAAGATAGGGAATCCTCAGGGATACGTCATGGGGGTTTAACGCGATAGGAAGGAAAGCGGCGGACTTATTCATGGATCCCATGTTGCAACTCCATCCTGGCCATGTGTACATGTGCGTAAGTGGCACCAATACCAACATCATCACAAGCATCATATCTAACAAGGACCAAGGTTATTGAAGACCAGAGATACTTGTATTGCTGTCGCTACGCTAAACAAGGACATCATGTCTTTCATATCCGAGAACAAGCTCTGGACTAGATGCGACTGAAGATGCATGCATCCTAGATGCGAGATTTGCTGAGACCAAGGAAATTACTGCTGAATGGCGGGCGAACACTTCGCGTTGATTGCCAAGATAACAAAACAAAAGTAAGCAGAGAGGGTATCATAACCTCTGACAAGCGAGATGATTGGGAGCAAAAGAGAAAAAGACAAAAAAACAAAAATCGAACGAAGCCAGGTCGTTTGCGCCAAGGGTACGCCAGGTATTACGCGCTTGTAGTAGAAAATAGGTAGCGGGACGAAAGGTAGAGAAAAAATAGAAGTATACACGAGCTAGGCGGTAAGGGAATGTACAAGAAAAGATGATTGTCGCAACCGACAGGGATGATGCATGCAAGTCGTCTGTGCGTTGGTGGAACTGCGGGGAGGAGAGGCGTTTCGAAACAAAAATGGCGTCTTTGAAGTGCGGCTGGGTTTTACAGCGAATCCATGAAATCCATCAGCGACTTGCGGCGCCGGATTGCGCGGCTTCTGGCACTAGAACTGGGATCCATCTCGTTTCTCGGGCACTCTGGGAGAACCAGCGTGGGCTCCCTCTCATCAGCGCCGCGGGCAGTCATGCGTCCAAGTGTGGTGGAACGCTTTTGTTGCATAGTGCTAGTGCTGACTTGCGGGACTGGGGGTGCAGGGTCTGGCGAAGGGGTCTTTCGTACCGATTCGCCCCCACGAGACTTGGGACGCAGAATGGTAGACGCGCGGCGAATCTTGTTTTGGGCAGCGAAGTTTGCCGCGCCCTCAATGGGGGCCGTCTGAGGCGTCGGGGTGATGGGTGTGGGTGGAACCTTGCCGTGCAGGCGCGAGTCGAATTGCTTCTTGGCAGGTGTAATGGCAATCTTGGCGAGTGAGAGCTTCATGGAGATGGAACGTAGTCGGCGGTGGGCCGTGGGTTGCTTCTTGATAATTGGTGAGGCGGGGCTAGTCGAAGAGTTTTCATAGGGATCTGAACTGAGGAAGGAAAGAGCGGGCGAGTTTGGAGTTGGCGGGGGCAGGTACGATTGGCGATGGCCTGGTTGGTATGACTGTGATGTTGGGTATTTTGAGAGGTCGATGCGGGAGCGCGAGGGCATGTAGAGGGAGGAGCGGGCGGATGCAGCTTCCCCAGCGGCTGAGGACGAGGGCCTTGGTGGGGCATCGCTGAAGGCAGGTGAGTAGCTGCGTGTTGATGCAGCCTGGAACGATGAAGAAATGGAAGCCGAGTCGGTGAAGGTGCTGGGCTTTTGGGTAATTGGACTATGACTGGTTGAGGGTCGGCGTGGCTCGACAATGGCGGGTGGAGAAATGGGACGAGAGAGCGAGGGTGAAGCCATGCTTGTGGTGGGCATGACCTTCATAGAGAAGCGCTGTGCCTCGTCTGCCTTTTGCAGCTTCTTTGCTGCTGTAATGGGAATGAGGTTGGCCACGGAGGCGGCTCGTTGCTGGACGGCTGGGCGATCGGTTTCCATGTCGACCATCTTGGGGCGGCCGGCGTGGGCATAGGCAACGGCGACGGCCATGTCGCAACTGCGGCCCTTGTCCCACCTGGAGATTGACATTGTCTTTGCGGTAGCTTGGGTGGAAATGTCGTGGACGACGGCGTCTTCGTAGTCGTATTCCGAGTCTGAGCCCGAGGCTGAGCCGTCGTCGGCCGTCAGGTCCTCTTCGCTTGAGAGATAGCGTTCCTGGAAAACTTTTGGTGCTTTTGCGCTAGGTGGGGTGGGCTGCTGCGAGGCGGGCGTGTCGATGCGCAGTGTGTCGGAAACATCGTCGCACAGGTTGGGGCTCGAGGCAGCGCTGTCGGTGCTGCCACGCTGGGGACGGGGCGCGAGTTCGGGCTTGTCAAAGGTCCATTGGGACAGCTGCGCGGTGACGGCGACGTCGACCATTGTTGCAGAATGGAGGGTGGTGGAGTGGAGGGTGGTTGGACAGGCGCCAGTCAGGCTGTGGGTGGGGGGTATATGTATGGAGGGGTGGTGGGCGTTCCTTGGTAGGCGCCAGGCCGGCGGATGGGTGAGACTGGAGTTGCACGGCGTGTGTGGTGTAGGTGCGAGCTGAGGGCGTCAGTGTCAGAGAGTGAGGTGACAGGCGGTGGGCGGGTGTATTATGGCGGATGATGGTGTGCCGCAGGCGGAAAAGTGTAAGAAAGGCCGGCGCTATATTATGGAGGGATAGGGCGTGGGTGGATATATTGCAGAGCACTCTCCAGCTTTGGACGCGGCCCCTGGCACGGCGTCGAGGTTTCAAGTACAACCACGACCGGGCACGGGCTGGGAACGGGCCAGGGAACCCAGCAGAGCCAGCAGAGTCAAGGCGCGAGTCAGTGGGGCGGGCCTGTGCACGATGCCATCATTTAACGTGCTGTCGCTGTCGACGGACTAGTTGGCTGGTGTCGCTGTCGTCGTAATAGTCGTTGTGGTGATGATGATGATGATGATGATGATGATGATGAGCATGATGAACGGGGGGGCAGGGCACAGCAGGGCAGGGCCTCAGCTCACACCCACCCGTCCACCCACACCTCTACTGTGTAGTCTGGGTAGCGTACGCCGGGCTACCTGCCACACCTCGCGGCGCCGCCATCTCATTGCTGCGGCCAGCTGCTGCGTGTGCTGCGTGTGCTGCTAGCGAGCAGACGAGCGTGACGGCGAGAGCGGTCCTGAGTGGCTGCTGGCCCCGTTTCACGCCCTCAGTCTGCACACGCACACACGCACACACAGCACACACACACAGCACACCATAGGGCCACAACGGCATTGCGCACTCGCCTCCACCCACCAACCCATCCATCAGCCCAGAGAGCCCATGAACTGCTCCGTTCCCCAGCGCCCGGCGTTGCGATGGCAATGCGACGAGTGGGCGGCAGGCGGCCGTGATCGCCGTCCCTTCATCTCTCGTGCTCGCCTCGTGTCTTGCACTTGTCCGCACTCGTCCTGCTCGCCTGCCGACTGCAAGCGTTCCTGTGCTGGTCAGGGGCAGGCGGCCGTGGACGGTGTGGGGTTGCGAAGAAGCTAGCCGACGCCATTGCCGGATTCGCTCCAGCATGCCGCTCTCTCGTCGTATTGTCTGCCCGCTCCACCCGTCGTGACATTTTCCATCGCTTGGCTCTGCTTCTCCATCTACTCTACTCTACTCTACTCTACTCGACTGCACTGTACTGTATGCTATCTGTTCCCCTGTCTCTGTCTGCATCGGCATCGACACGTCGGTCCAGGCCTTTGTCTGCTACCACAAGTGTGTACACACACACCTGTCCTCTGCTCCGCTCCGCGCACCCACACACTCACTGGCCCAAACACTGCTATCTGGCTGGCTCCGAGTCGAGGGTCATGCCGCTGCTAGCCAGCTCAGGTACCGGGACGTGCTGATGGCCTTGCCTGGCTGTGCCCTGGCTCTGGCGCTGCTGCTAGGACCAAGTAGTAGCATTTTGCTCCTAGTCCTAGTAGCATCCTCGGGCCCATGTCACCTGCAGCTGCGAGCGCCGTCACCGCCATCCCCTATCTGGCCTGTCGCCTGCCCACACCGCCAGCACGCTCTCAGGCCGGCCTACAGCCTCTTCGTCGATATCAATAGCCACTCCAAACTCTGCCCGAGATTGCAGCCCTCTGCTCTGCCCACGCCCTGCTGAGCGCCTGACCAGACCGCCACACCAAGCTCGTCTCGCCAATCTGCACACATTAGATTGCTCCACGGCCATGGCAACGCTCACGCTCGGAACACAGGCCCGTGCCATCTGCTCACCATTCAATCCCACCACCAAGCGCCCATCTACTTAGCTCTAGCTGTGTCTATCCGACTCTCCAGTAACTGCTTTCAGTGTAGACACGCACACCCCCCCCCCTCACACTCTCACTCTCTCAGCCCCTCTACTTACGCTGCCTGCATCGTCACAATCATCTCGTGTTGCAACTCGCTGCACATCCGTTTCACCGCTCGCTTTTTCTTCTTTGCACCCCCGCCCCCTCTCGAACCGTTTGTGCGCCAGCAGGCTGCAAACGCCCTGCATGTTCCTCGTCCTGCAGCAACGCCACGCCACGTCCAACCGTACCGCGTGCTACGTACCCGAACAAGTACCTAGTACCTACCTTCGCTCCCAAACTATCGCCGTACCTACATGTCCAAATGCACTAGCCCAGTACCCACCTCGCATGCCCTGCTGATGGCGGCATTAGTCACTCCACTGCCGCTTGACCATCATGTCTAGCTCCCATTGCCATGCTGACGCTGCACGCGTTCCTGAAGCTCGCTCATTCCACGCTTGGTCTCAGCTCCATTTACGACGCTGATGTCATGGCCGCCCCATTGCCGCCTGCCAAGCCTCACCGCCTGACTCCTAGCCGTGGCCTGAGGAAGGAACCATTGCCCCACCTGCTAATCGCATATAGCATGTGCATCCTAATAGTCGTTCCCTGCACTAACCAAGCATTCGCTGCTTACTCACTCTCCACCCGGCCCTCTGGCTTCCCTATTAATACTGCTCACATGGCTATCCTTACTTACCACCAACCACGCTGACGGCACCCGGTGGAAACGCAACATCGCCGCACCCATCCCAGCAGCCCTTTTCGTGGAAACAGCCTCGTGCGCCCTGTGACTCGGCACCACCCGGCCAAACCAAGCCTCTTGTCTGTGAGACACAAATCCACACCGCTGCCCCCCCGAAATCGCCACAATCGGGGCCATGGGCTGCAAGGTAGAATACGGGCACCACTGACCTGAGCTTTGTCTGCTAGTAGCCTCAGCAACGATGCCAAGAAAACATGGCATCTGGGCAGACGCTGCGCTTCCTCCCCCCGTGGCAGCCGCCCTGAATACATATCAGCTCGAGACCTTTGCATCATGCAAGATGACTAAACTATCTCAAGGCTTGCTTCAATGACTTGTACGCAGCAATCCACAGCTATGGACGGATGGCACCTTTAGACTTCCATCTCATACGCGTAAAACGGAACAGTTGGACCATGTCTACCCTCTGCTCGGTCTCGGACAAAGCAGAATAGCACCTAACGTGTTCTTGGTATCTCCACAATCTGCAATATATGTCCGGAAGTCATGGGCTTGAACCTTAATGATACTTTCTTTGACAGGTGATATTTGAAGTCATCCACTGACAGTTACCAAATCTTTCCAGAACATGACTAGTGTTTGCAACGTGACCTAGCAACTAGCTTGACACGGAGTCTCTTGCCATCATTGCATCAACTTGACAAATCATAGCCCATGTATTGCATCGGATCGATAAATCTTATTTCTTCGCGTACCCAATGCCCCCAAACCGTTCTGATATGCAGCTAAACGTGCATGGATTGTTTGCTCCATCTGGCCTAGTGCACCTTCCCTACCCTGTAAACAAACCATAGTTAGTCTTCCCGCCATCCAACAGCCAACACCGCGTGCTTGCTCTATACTATTGCTCATGTCTGTCTACTGGCCACTGAATAACCCCATCGGACGTACGCCATCTCTACTCCTCACTGTACATTACTGTGCAGCATCCGAATATACCAAATCTACGTAGCCATGCATTCATTCACGTCGTCGATACCTTGCTGGTCCATTCACAGAGAAGTAAGCCCTCAACTACTACGACGTTTCCCTTCAGACATTTCCATGGGTAATTTCCTGGAGTGGCCAAACAAACTCCTTCTCCATCAATGGCACTGCCCTATCGAACTTGACCTCTTCGCTTTTCGAATATTCTCCCACCGCAAAAGTCACTGCCCCTGTGGTCATCGTCGAAGGTGGATGCAACAGGGTGTGCTTGTGAAACCACCTTGATAGAACATTTGGTTTGCAAATAATTCTAGAAATACCTAGACTGACCACACTGCGCCGGTAGCTGGCAAGATTACCCTCATAGCCCATGGGACATGCGACTATGGTATCAAATCTGCTTAGTCTGGTGCCGCTGGAGCTGTCGGGTCAATCCTGTACAACATTGATGACAGAGGCCCTGAAGTTGAAACTCTGCTCGCTCCTCCTCGGCCTGAGGGGCCATACGTCCCTCCCTCAACATTATCAAGAATGTATCCACCCCTATAGTCGCGGCACTCAGACGCGGAGAAAAGATGTTTGCCAGTTTTGATGTCTACTCAGGTAAGCTATTGTATGATTTGAGGAGGCAAGATGGCTTATACGAGTATCACAGACCTCCGCAACATTACTTCATCAACCCTCATTGCTACCACCAAGTCTGGCGACCACAACAACAAGCTTGTTGTCGGCGCTCACTCGAATGGTGTACTTGAGGGTCCAGCAATCAACGACGTTGCAAGTGGCCTAGTTGGGGTCTATGAAGTCGCCAAAGGATTATCAAATTACAAAATCAAGAACGCGGTAACATTTGCCTTTTGGACCGCCCAACAGGCCAGTTATCTGCCCGGCTCAACACATTTCATCAAGAACCTCACTCCAGCTGACAATGCCAAAATCCGTGCTTACTTGAACTTCGACCTGAAACGTGTGATACCTCATGCTTTGTAGAGGTGGTTGCTTATGGTTCTGCCTCAGCTTGGCTCACCTAATTACGTCCACCAAACCTAAGATGGCGACGGCAAGGCCTTTGGCACGCCTGGACCCGACGGCTCCACTCAGATACAAAACCTCTTCCAGCGGTACTTCAAAGCTGCAGGAACAAGCACTATCCCAAAGGAGTACGACGGCCGCTCCGATCATGTACCTTTTTTCGATGCTGGAATTCCCGTCGGAGGAACCTCGACAGGCCGAGATGTGCAAAAGGCCCCTGAACAGGCTGCCATTTTTGGCGGAACAGCTGGTATCTACTACGACCCTTGCTTTCACCTGCCATGCGACACAGTCAAGAATTTGAATCTGGACGCCTGGATCCTTCACATCAAAGGCATTGCCGAGGTTGTTGCTACTTATGCCAACTCCTGGGATGGATTCCCAAAGAGGACTACCAGCGCTGCAAAGAAAAGCTTAATCCGTACCAGAGATATTAACGAGAAGTCATATGCCTAAGGGGATTTAGGTTAATGGCACAGTTTTTCAATCATGTGAAATAGCAAGGTCGCAAGAAATACGAAGAGATGAATCTGTCATAGACACAACATACTTGCATTTAAACATCAGGTCTAAAAGAGACCTCCAACTGCAGCGAAATACACCTTCTAGCAGTGGCTTTGATATCCTAATCCTCCCATTGTACCTTCACAAAAACCACCCACGTAGCGCAGCAGCAGCCCAGTCAAAGTCGTCATACTCGGCACGGTTGACACCACCGCAACCTTGTCCACCTACTGCACCTCATAATAATCCAGCCACCGGGAGTGCAGCGGGAAGAACACAATGCCAAAGGAAACACGGCCCATATCCCCCTCCCTTGCAACGTTCAAATTGCAAAAAGACCATAAAATAAAATCCTCATTAATTAGCCCTGCTTATCATCTCTTCACTCGGCGGAAAAAATCCCCCCACCCCACCATGGTTTAATTCCACATACGACGAGCACACCCACCCCCAAGCCGTTTTGCACGTCAGCCGTTTGGAATAGATTGGGGGGAGGGGTGGTGGTTAATATAAAAAAAATACCCGAGTGCTTGGGTTTGATGGTGGAGACGAGCGGGAAGACTATTGTTTGAGACGAGAGTACGGGGGGGACCGTGGGTTTGGAAATTTGGGAAATCTGGGTGGTAGATGAGAGAGACAGGATATTTTGATAGCGGGTTGGCTTTGCGTCGGTGCGAGCAGGGGTGGGGGGCGTGGGGGGAAATTGCTGTGAGATGGGTCATGTGATCAGGATCACGTGAAGGTCTGGCTTTGCATCGGAATCTTGTGATTGCAGCTCCAACTTGACTATTTCGGTAATTGATGGTTTATGCATATTCTGGCTTTCCTTATCTTGCGGCTAATCCCGATCCGTATAGCTAGGTATCATAAATTAAATCACGATGTCCCGTACACATAATTTCTGAAGCTGATTCGATATCCTCGAGTTGACTAGTTCACCGGCGGATTGGTCGTCTCATAGGTAACCACCAGTAAACTCCCGCTATCCACTATCGTATGTTCTTGTGGGAAATCTTGGTAAGCTTTTGCATCAAGCCAAGGTCACGTGATAACCACTGGCATGCAGCACTAGCTCCATGTCTCTCCAAACTGTCCAGACAACTCCACCCCACCCAACTCTGACATCGGCACAGACTACTCCGCATCGCCGATCACAAGTCTAAAATAGACCACCGTTTCAAAACACTATCTACCCAAGGTAGCAATGAACAGCAGCGTCTAGATGCACTACTTTCAGCTCAAAATCTAGAACTATAAAGGGGTTCAGTTGGCATTGCCTTGGAGCATTAATCTCTCCACTTGCAAAAATCAAAGAGCAAGGCGCGATAAGACCATCCAAGCAAACCTCCCAATTGTACACGGCATATGTAGGCCAAGCCGGGAAAAGCAACGAAAATGTTTGTTTGATGCGGCTGGAGAGTTCCCCGCGGACCTTCAACTTCGCGTCTGGCTGTGGTAAGCTGCAGAGCATCTGCTTATGTACATGTGATTAGAGCGCATCCAACTCATTCCTTGTACCTCGAAACACTGCATGAGACAACAGCAGCGTCTCTTGCACTTGTCCTTGCACTCATCTCCAGGCCTCTCTCCCCTATCCGGCTCAGCGCGAATCCATGTCACGTCTTATGCATTCGATCCCACTCCCATTGTTGCTTTTCGGGGCTTGGGACCTGTCGGCGGTTCCAGATTCGACATGCATGCCCCCCAACACTACAGCTGTGTTTCCAAGATCCGTGTCTTCCGCGATGGCGATCATCCAGGGAGTTTTGAGTTGAACAAACGAAAAAGAAAAGAAAAGCAGAATCTTGAGCATAACACCTGAGTCGTGCCCCTCGCCGAGCATGTAAACAAAAATCCCTCTTTTCCCACATGATAGATCAAACTTTGTTCGCTCCCAGTCAGCCTTGGGCTTTGGTTTTGCACATCTCCTTGTACAACATATAGCAGTCTGTCGGCGTTTGTGGCCGAACCGTTAGGTTTGTTTCGTTTTAGTCTCGACATTGACTTTTCTCGCCTGCAAAGAAACATGATGCAACAGGCAATGGATGTCAGTGGGCATGGCTACGAGTCTCAGCCGGCTCCTAGCATGCCCATGCCGCGTAAACTATGGGAGCACCCAGATCCAAAGTCGACAGCCATGTGGAAATTCATGCAAAATGCAAATGATAAACATGGACTAAAGATGGAGGCAAGTCATTTGCTTCTTCATTTTTGAGGGTTGAAAATAAACAACCAGTATCTAACACATGAGAGCAGACCTATCGTGATTTATACTCGTGGAGTGTTGGCCCAAATCGAACTGATTTCTGGGACGACGTGTGGATGATCTCCAACTTGATCCACTCTGGTTCCTACAATCAGGTAAACTCCCTCCAGTCTACGACCTCTACATGGTTCTTCGCTGAACATACTAGGTCGTCGACACGTCGATTCCCATGGAAGAAAACCCGCACTGGTTCCACGGCACATATCTCAACTTTGCAGAAAACATTCTCTTTACCGCATCTGACACGGATTCGTCGCGCTGCACTACCATCCACAAAGAAGACGACAAAATCGCGCTGACGGAAATCCGAGAAGGCAATACCGATGTCGCGCATCTGACTTGGGGTGATCTTCGCCGGCGCGTGGGCCTTCTCTCCAATGCGCTGCGCGCAAAGGGAGTGCAGAAAGGAGATCGAGTCGCCCTAGTCGCGTCCACCAGTTTCGACACATTCATCGTCTTCATGGCTACGGTCAGCTTGGGCGCGCTCTTCAGCTCCAGCAGCACCGACATGGGCGCCAAAGGCATTCTCGAGCGCCTCGTGCAGATCAAGCCAAAATACGTCTTTGTGGACGACTGGGCGGTGTACAACGGCAAGACGATTGATCTGCGGCCCAAGATTAGCCAGCTTGTTACCGGCATGCAAGACGTAGTACCGGAATTCGAAGGCGTAGTAACACAGCCGCGGTTTCGAGGCCGTCCAGCAGGCATAGAAGGGCTGGGCAGTACGCAGACACTCGCGACCTTTTTGCAAGCTGCAGAAGGAAACGAGGACCTTGTTTTCGAACGAGTTGCGTTTCGCGACCCTTTTCTGATTGTGTACTCTAGCGGGACGACGGGTGTGCCGAAATGCATTGCGCATTCGACTGGCGGCGTGCTGGTCAACGTGTGCAAAGAGAGCATTCTACACAAGGAAGTGACGCCGGAAAGTGTGGTGTTGCAATATACAACTGTAAATAAGTCCCTACCCCTCTTCCCCAATGTCGACATATTAACAAAAAGACAATACAGACTGGCTGGATCATGTACCTCGTATCTATCCAGATCCTACTCTTCGGATGTCGCAGCATCCTCTACGACGGCTCTCCCTTTCGCCCGACACCCCAAGGCTTCCTCTCCATTCTCTCCTCACAGCGCGTGACAGACTTTGGCACATCGCCCCGCTTCCTGCACGAGCTCCAGAAGAGAAACATCCGGCCACGCTCGCTATTCGACTTGTCGCACCTCAAGAGCGTAGGCACAACCGGCATGGTCCTGCCTGAAGCGCAATTCACCTGGTTCTACGACGACGCCTTCCCTCGCTCCGTCCACCTCCGAAACATCTCGGGCGGCACCGACATCGCCGGGCGGTTCGGCATGGAAAACCCGCTGGAGCCCCTATACGCAGGCGGGTGCCAGGGCCCATGTCTAGGCACAAAAGTCGAAGTCTACAATGCCCTGATCCCAAGTGGCCGCCCGGGCGAAGCAGTTGCAGACGGTGTCGCGGGCGAGCTTGTCGCCACCGCTTCGTTTCCCAACCAGCCCGTTTGCTTTTGGGGCGACGACGCCACGGGCAAAAAGTACAAAGCTGCCTATTATGCGCGCTTTCCCCACGTCTGGACCCACGGCGACTTCATCCAGATGCATCCCCTCACGGGTCAGATCTTCTTTCTCGGCCGTGCCGACGGCGTCTTGAATCCGTCGGGCGTCCGCTTTGGGTCGGCGGATATATACAGTGTCATCGAGGCCCACTTTCCAGAGGTCGCGGATTGCATTGTTGTCGGCCAGCGCCGGCCCCAGGATGCGGATGAGAGCGTCATGTTGTTTTTGAAAATGGCACGCGGTCATGAATTCAGAGAGGGTCTGGTCGAGCGGATCAAGAGCAAGATTGCCGAAGAGAGGAGTAAAAGGCATGTTCCGCGGTTTGTGTTTCAGACTTGGGAGATTCCGGTACGTTATGCGTTTTGTCTTTTCTTTTCTTTCTTCTTCTTTTTCCTCTCTCCTTATCCCATTTCTTTCACTCTCCCTCCTTCTCTTCAATCCTATAAAAGGAGAAGGGGGAGGGGGAGGGAAGGACAAACATTAGTGTGTCGAAAAATGTCGTTTTAATGCAAAAGGGAAAAAAAAAGACAAAAAAAAAACGCTAACACTTAATACTTCCTAGACGACCGTGAACCTCAAGAAAGTCGAACTCCCCGTCAAGCAAATCGTCTCGGGCAAGAAGATCAAACCCAGCGGCACGCTGCTCAACCCCCAATCGCTAGAGTTCTACGAGCAATTCGCCAACGTGGAAGAAGTCGTTGAGAGGCTGAATAAGGAGAAGAAGGTGAGGAGGAGGTGTACATTGTAGTCATCTCGCTCTCTCTCTCTCTTTTCCCCCTTGGAATAGCACCCATTGGTAAAGTTGACTTGACTGGGTGGGCACTTGAGAACGAGCTGGTACTGATTTTTTCTTTTTTTTTCTCTTTCATGAACGACGATCGAGATGAATATGTGGGACGGAGAAGTGCGGGGAACCCGTGTTTTCGATACCAAGCATAATGTTCGGTTCGGGGTTTGTGAGGCGTTTTTTCTGATCTTTCTCCATCTCTCTTTTCCTCAAAGGTATATCCTTTTTTTTTCTCTTCGTTTATTGCTGCTTCTTAACACTTTTGTCTATTGGTAATGCGAAATGATTGATTTTTTGTTGAAATGAAAGCTTTCACGCTGCTAATGTGGAATGGGGGTGGGCGAAGATACAATAACCAAAACATATAGCATAATGAACTGGAGAGTTGATTAATCGCAAATCGTGACATCATCAACTGGGGTTTGTCGCATTCACAAAGTCAATTTCCACATGTGTCGTTCCCATGGCAAATGTACCAGTAAGCCGCATATAAGGGCCATACGTAGCCCGCAACGTTGCTATAAGAGACATTTGCAAAAAAAAAACCATGGAAGCAAGAAATCCCTTTTCCTCAAAGTGTCGGCGTGGCACTCTCTAAACGAGACGTATTTTTGCCCTCACCCATTTTACGCCTGTAAAACGCCCTAGGTCCACACTCCCTTGATCCGCCCTTTCTGGACTTTGCCCATTTCTTCTTTCCTCCCCCTCGTTGTTAAATATCGCATCTGGTCGCGCAATCATATCCTCCCGTTTAGATCTTCTCAGCAACCTTGTTCTCTGCTCACGCGTTAGCTCTTGCTCATCTCCTCATTCAATCCCCTCCACTCCCCCATCTCTAAATCCCCCTAGCTCAAAGAGAGAGAGAGAGAGAGAAACATACTCTGCTGCGTCAAAAGAAGACCGTAGCGCTTCTTAATCGTAACCCTGTGCCTGCTGTACTTGTCGTCTGGCGAGAAGCGCGCCGGGTGAGCGCTCTTGCTGACCTCGCCATCAATAACCTTCTTGAGCGTGTAGATGCGCTTCGACGGGTTCGCCGGGTCGGGAATGTACATGAGATGCATGCTGTGGCGGTTTTTGCGTTAGCTCTGGGTTCGGATGTTTCTTCTGATTTTTTTGCGCGCGCGCAACGGCACGGCGTCGACGCAGGAAAAGTACAAAAGGCGAACGTACGTTGCGAGATGTTGGTTGCGCAAGAATTGACTTTATGGGGGGTATTTTTTGGCGGAAGAGTTGGCGACGGGGGAAGTGGGTGGAATAGCGAAAGCAAAAAGCTAGTCGGTAAGGTAGAGAGCTCTCAAGAAGTTCTTAGTCGGCATTTTTTTCCTCGTCGGACCACCGAGCTGCCGCCTGTGCCAAGGCTACGCGCTGCAACTAGACTGGGAAACCAATCAGATAACAACGGAGTTTGCACTGTTTGCACCCCCGATTTACCCAGAAGCACCCAAACCTCCACATCATCCACTTCGTGTACTCGGGTCCGCCATCGCATCTCTCTCTCTCTCTACACAAGCCAAAAAAAGACCTGTATATTTCCCCTCATCTGTGCCCTCCCCGCAGTCCAGTCATTCATTTTTCTATTTCTCGCTCTTAGAAAACCAAAAATAGAAGGAAATAAATTCCAAAAATGTCTCACCTCACCGCACTCGTCCTCGTCCTCTTCTCCCTCACATACCCCATAGCCGCCCAATTCGGCTTCTTCGACCAAATGTTCGGCGGTGCCAATCATGGCGGTGGCGGTCACCACGGCGGCGGACACAATCATCACGGTGAAGCGCAGAACGTGCGGAGTGATAGTAGTTGGTATCAGGCGCAGTATGAAGGCGGTAAGTTCCACCCTTCCCTCCCCCCCGTTGTACTTGCTTGTATCTATTTTTTTTTTTCAATATGGAATTTCACCATGGCTGATTTCAAATAAAAAATAGCACAATGCTCACACTATCTCTGCCCCGGCACGCTTTCCTGCGTCCATTTCCCGCATCACTGCCCTTGCGCGTGGGAAAGCGTAGAAGACAAGGTGGAGCTGGGCGACGGCATTGCGATTTGCGGGTCTAAAGGTGGATGGAGTGAGGGCGAGTTTGCGAAAAAGGTGGATTTGGCTCGGAAAGGCTTGCTTTGATTTCTTCTTTGTCAGGGAAACAACACACACACACACCTGTACACACGATGCGAATGGAAGGAGAAGGGGAATGATGATCAAGTTTTGGGGATTTTGAATGGAAATAAGAAAGAAGAAAAACGTTTGGGTACTTTTTTGAAAAAAAAAGGTATAGAATCCTTATGCAAATTACGCGACTGGGTACCAGAAATATATCATCATATTCACATTTGAAGAGAAGAAGAGGGCGGTTCATGCAAGCCAAAAAAAACATACGCCCCGGTAAACCACTTGATCCCAAGATTCCCTCAACTAATATCTCAGCAAAAAAAAAACCCCCCTCTCCTCATTCATGCCCGCTTAGCATACTTGTACCGATATGCCTGCTTTCCATCCTTTGTATCCCTATCCTCTTCAAAGCCCAACTCTTCTCTCCCCCACTGCCTCATGACTACTTTACCCAACATCTCCCTCTCGCTCTCGAGCTCTCTCACACTCTCACTCCACTGCCCATCGCGCTTGCCCACGAGCGTCTTTGCCTTTTCCTTCATCACTTTGCTCAACAGGGCTGCGAGTTTTTCGTCCATGGCTTTGTTCACGGCCTCGTGATCTGCTTCTTTGGTGGCGAGGAGAGACTGGAGAGATGCGTTTTCGGTGCGGAGGGTGGAGATGGTGGATTCGAGGGTGGAGATGGTGGAGGAATATGAGTCTGAGCGCGTCGACTTGTATGGCTTGGTTTCTTTACGGAGGGCCGAAATTTCAGACTTTAGAGTTTTGATGTCGGCAAGTTGGTTGCGGATGATGCTGCGGAGACTAGTAATTTCCGTGGCTTGGGCGTTGGTCGCCGTGGCGGATGAGTTGGTTGTCGCGTCATGGTCGTCGACAGTGGAGTTGTCATCGTCTTGGCCCAGGGCCTGTTTTGCTGCGCTGTTACGCAGTGTTTCGACTTCTTCTTTGACCCGCTTGAGGTCTCGTGTTATCCGTCGCTTTTCGCTGCGCTCTTGCTCTAGGAGCGCGCCGGCTTTGCGTACGGCGTCTTCGGCTTTGTCGCGGACTTCTTCCACTGTGGTGTCGTGTTCTTCAATCATATCTTCGTGTTGCGCTCGTAATTCTTTAAACTTGGTCTCGACCTCGGACTTCAATTCCTTCATCTTGCTGAGCTTCTTCTCAATGTCGCCGACCCGGCGGTCTGCCTCGGCTCGGGCCTCTTTCAACAGATCGTTTGCATCTTCCAAGTCTCGTTCAAATCGTTCAGCATCGCCTCTTGCTTGGGCACTTTCACGGTGTGCTTCTGCTAGCTGCTGGCGAAGGTTAGCATTGCCAGCTTCCAGGCTTTGCAAGCGGCCCTGGTACGTGTTGATTCGATGCTCAGCCTGCTCCTGCCCCTCAATAATATTTCTCATCTCTTGATCCTTGGTTCCAAGCTCAGACTGCACAGATTGAAGCTGGGATTGGAGGGATCGTATACGAGTCTCCAGCTCAACGACCTGGCGAGACTGTCCATCATTGACAGTCTGCTCATCCCTAGGAGCCGTAGTTCGAGCTCGAAGGGACTGCACCTCTGCTTCTAGGGAGATTGTATGTTGAAGTTGTTGGTCTTTTGCAGCATTATCTGCACGTACGGAATCGAGCTGGAACTGGAGAGAGCTGATGCGCGCCTCTAACTCATCAGACTCAGTGCGCTGGCCGTGTCCAGTAGAGTCATTTTGCACCCTCTCGAGTTCAGACTGCAGCGCACGAAGACGAGTGTTAAGCTCGAGATTTGTCTGAAACAACTGCTGCTTAGCTGCGGCATCAGCCTGTGCACACTGAGCTTCGAAACGCACATTTTGCAGTTCCCCTTCAAGCTTGACAATGCGTCGAGTCTGCTCCGAGGCAGTTGCTTCGATTGCAGACCAGATTTGGTTCTTTTCCCGTGCCTCCTCACGCGCCAGCTTCGCTTCAGCTGTCGCCGTTTGGAGATTGGACTGAAGAGCATTGGCTCGTGCCTGAACTGAAGAAAGCTGCTCGGCTAGCAGCAATCGTTTATTCTCCGCATTCTCGTCCGTTTTATCAGACCGTTGTGCCTGTGTATTTTTCAAGTCTTGGACCTCTCGCTCATGCGAAAGCTTCGTGTGCGACAACTCTGCTTGCACCTCGTCTAGGCTCTGGCCTTTTGTCTTCATCTCTTCAGCAAGTTGTCGGTTCGACTCTTCGAGATTCTTCCGCTGACGCTCAACTTCTTCAAGCGACTTCAACTGGGCATCAGCAGCTGCACGAGCTGCATCATGATCAGCACTTTGACGCCGCATGCTCTTTTCCAAGCTCGACAACTTTTCCTTGTGTTTGTAATTCTCAGCACGCGTGCTTTCGAGCTCGGAACGGGTATACGACAGGATGGTTTCGAGTTCTGTGATGCGCGACCTTGAAGACGACTCTTGCTGTTCGAGCTGATGCTGCAGCTCTGCAATCTTGTTACGGGCGACGTCCTGTTCGTTCGTATCTATGATGGCCGAAGTGTGCCGTATAACGGTCTCTAGAGTGGGTTTCCGCGGAGTATCATAATCTTCGACGGTAGGTTGCAGTGATCGTGCTTTTGGTGGTGAAGACCTAGGAACCTGCAGGAAACTACGCCGGGGCCCATGCAGTGGTGTTCCGGTGAGGGCGCCATCCATTTCTGTGTCTGGAAGGTTGCTGAGGAAGCTGCGAACCTTTTCATCATTCTCCATTGATCGTTCCGACACTGCTTTGCTGTGCCGGCGCTCTTCCGACGAGCCGTTGGCGCGCCTAGAGGGTGACGCGGTACGAGGCGGCTCGTCTGACCGTTGCCTGGGCTTTTCAACTACGACTACTGGCTCACCCACCTCTGTCGCTTGCCGTCCTTCGCTGCCGTCTGGTATAGCATCCATGCGTGCCGTCGGGCGCTTGGTGTTGGCTTCTTTCCGCGACTTGATTTGCGCCAGGGGCAGATCGGCCGTCATCCAGTAGGTCATGTTCATGGTAAAGTCTTCTGGGCCCTCGATCTCGCTCGTGTCTACACGATCGACGGGTGGCTGATGGCTATGCTCAAGCTCGGTCGATTCAAATGTCGAATTGAGGCCTAAGGCGTCTAGATCCATCTCATACTGCGATCCATCTTGTGAGGGCGGACGCGACGGGCTGCGTTGCGGTGATTGGAAGCGCGTCGGGCTTGCCGTGTACGAGGAATGCGATGGCGCCATTTTGGATTGACGCGTTGTGCTCGCTGCATTCAGATTAAGACTGTGGTGCTGGAGCGGATAAGAATTGGGCTGATATGGATGTCTGTTTGTTGTGGAAACGCATTTCTAGTCTAGTGTCATGCACGTCCGGGGTTAAGAAATGGTTCGCGCTTATTTCCGGCGCGTTTTGACTCGGCCCCGCGAGGAACGCGTGGTGGACCCTTCTGGTCTAGCTCTCCACTACCAGTATACATATGCATGAATATGAGACTGCTTGGACGGGTAGCCGTGTACGCATCGAAGACTGCAAACAAAGCACCCGAATTTAGCACATGATCGTTGGATTGTGATAAATGGAGAAAGAACCAAAACATACGAGACACTCGTACTATCATGTCGACTTTACTACGGAGAGTAGATGCAGGAAAAAAAGAGAACAACCCCACACCATTTTTGCGGCCAATCAGCCAATGCATGCGCATCCAAGAGAAAAAAAAAACTCCACCCAGGCTACAGTAAGTAATGCGTAAAATCATCAAGTACCAGTGACTCCACATGGACACGGCTCTGTCCAATTCATTACTCATTCGCAGCTGTCACACCGTTTTCTGCACCTCGCAGAGCACCCAGCGCCCGTTGCAACTCTTCCTCTGCAACCATGACTGTACCTGCCCTCGCCGTGCTTAAATAGCTCATCTCAACAGGATCCTGCAGTTGGCCCGTTGTCTCGCCCACTAGCCGACCCGCGACGCCACACACAATACCCGTACTCTCCATGGGCAATTCCCTCAGGTCAAGCGTAATAGGGGTAAGAAACTCGTCTCTCGACCCGAGCAAAGTGTCTTGGGCAAAGTGGGGTAGCAACGTGTGATCCAAGAGGAGAGCGGCAGATTCGGTGTCGGTTAGGGTGAGGGATAAAAATTTGGGATAAGGCTGTGTAATGAGGCATTTTACAAGACCAAGATGGAGTGCGTCATCGGCGACAGTGGTCCTGCTGTTGCGGTTGCGCGCTTGGTTCATGCCATCTCGACGGCCTGCACACTGCACCAGACGGATGCTAGCGTCTACCGTCGGCACAATGTTGCGGCGCTTTAGGGTAGCAAAAGTCTTTGTTTGCAGTTCGGAAATGGTGGTTGGGGGCGGGCTCCTTGGGGGTTGGACTTCCAAAGAAGCAGCCGAATGCTTGCGGCCAGGTTGGAAGGAGTTGACGTACGACGAAGTGTCTTTTTCGAATTGGAATCCACGCTCTTCGAGTGCTTGCACGACTTGAGAGCGGTGTCGAAGGGGCACGAGAATGTAGTCGGAGAAGTAGGTTGTGATGAAGAAAATGGGTCTAATGTTGCGTCAGCCTTGTCTCGCCTTGCATGCAACCATGATACTCACATGCCAGCCAGGGCAAGAGGACTCGTCAGTTCGAGGACACGCTGGCCAGCATCCAGTCCTTCGCCGTCGACTTGCATGACGACAAAGTCGTCTTGAGTAATGTTTACGGATTCTCTGGACTCGGCGTCGAGCAGAGCGAGGACAGGTACGAAGACTTCATTGGCAAGCGTCCTCGAGCATACAATCGAACACTCGACCGGGGTGATTGAGATGTTCACGAAAGGATGTTCGCAAGGCCAGCCGTTCAGAGGCTGTACCGCACCCGAGCCATTTTCAAAGCCATCGCGAGTTGCATTAGGCAACACCAGCTGGAGGATGGACTGGAGAAAGGTACGGTAGAGGCGCAATGGAATGTGTATCAGAGCAAGCTCTGTATCCTTGGAAGTGATCATGTTAGCTAGAGCCGACTTGCGAAGGGGGGGGGGGGGAAACTTGGTGCGGCAGGGGATGATAAGACGTCGACCCTGCGCAGAGGCGTGCATGAGGGACCCGCCACCAAGGCCGCCCCCGATGTAAAAGGCAGATTTTTTTTTCTTTTCTTCCCTGCAATGCAGCAAAAGGAGCATGATAAATGGAGAATGGGCGTACCAAGATGCGGATATTGGCAGAGAGAAGGATTAAAGAAGACTCCATCCCGCAGGCCAAGGGCAAGATAAGAATAGTAAGACGGCGATGGTGGTGATGGGTCGCGTGGTGGCAGGGTGGCCACCTGCAGCAGTTTTCCGATTTGGTAAGTCGTATAGACCAAACAGGTTGCTAGCACAATGGGGCAAGCGTTTGAGGATCGTGGGAAAAAGCAAGGGAGGCTTTTTGATTCCAACGCTATGACGAGAAGGAAGGGCAGATGCGGAGGGGTAGGCGACCAGACTATCGGTTGATGTGTTCTTGTCCTACGGGCCAGTGCGAAGTGTCGTTTTTGAAGCCGAAATTCATCCCACAAAGTTTTGCTGAGAAGGGAGGAGTCAGGCGGATGATGAAAGCAGGAGGGAGAGGAGCAGAGGAGGGAGAGACAGAAGCCGCTGTATGCGACGGTAGGACGTCAGAGTGGAGGGCAAGGGTAGGGTAGGGGGGGGAGATCAAGGTGGCCAGGGAGAAGTCTGGGGTAGAAGAGGCAGGTAGCGTGGGGATGGCAGCGGATTGAAGAGGTGTAATTGGCCGGCGGGCGGGTCGAGGGTAGGCAAAGGGTCGACGAGGGCTAGGGGAGGGTTAAGGCTGGTGTTCAGGGCAGGGAGTGCAACGGGCGGGCAAAGGCCTGGGACGGCGTGGGATGGTCGGTCGGGCCCGAAACAGGCGCGGCGCGTAGGGCGGAAACGGTGCGGCTGACGTTGATGGTGAGGAAGCGTGGGGGAGAGGGTTGGTGTGAATGGGTGGATGGGTGGATGGGTGGATGGATGGGCCTGTAGAGCATGTACGTACCGGTATGGGTGCGTGAGAGGGAGCCGGGGGCGGATGGGCGCTTCAGAGGCAGCGTGGATGCTTTTGTATCTGGCGCCGACGTCGCCATGGCTAGTACTGTAAACTGTGACTCGACGAGGGAGAGACTCGGAGAAATTTGCACGCCCGTCGGCACCGTGCCCATCAGAGGACTGCATTGCCCTGCGAGGCAGAGCGGCAGGCGAGCAGGCAGCGCATTGCACATGGACATGGCATGGGCAGTGCCAATGCCAGCCGCCGTGTGTGTTCTTGGGGTTGCACGGCGCCGTCGGTGCAGCTGGCGGCTTCTTTTTCTCTCGACGCCTGCTGAGGGCTCAACACGTCGGCCAGACTACCAGCTACACTACTACCAGCTACACCACTACCACTCCTAGCATGGCCCCATACACAGGCCGGCTATCGTGCTTGACTCAGCGCTGCGATACGTATGCGCCCGTGCTACTGCTAGTCGACTTGCCATGCTCCATCTCCGTCCAGCGCCTCCCCACTGTCCCGTCACCAACCGAGCAGCGTCACCGCCGGCCATGTGCAGACACACGCAGACACACACACACACACACAGAGAGAGATAATATCAGCACTCCACTCGGCCCATGGGCGTCAGCGTTGGAGGCGCCGTCTCGTGTCACCACCACGCTGCCTACCCCGCATCGCCGCCCTCATGCTCATCTCGTCTGTGCGCCTCGCACCGCAGCAATGACGAGCACACGACTCCCTCCATGACGTGCTCGCGCCTCCAAGCCAACACCACGGCTACCTGCAGCTCGGGAGAACTGCGTTGACAAGGCCGCCCGGCGCAGTGCATATCCCAATCCTGCCTACACCCACGTACACTTGTACACATGTACCCCCTCGCGGCACCCTGAATAGGTCCGATTCCATCCCTTCCTCCGACCCCACTACCACCGCCGCCGCCGTCATGGCCATCGCCGCCATGCTCTACTGGTATCGTTTGCTGCATATGCACTGCACGTTCCAGACCCTGAGAATAGAAGAAGAAAATAACGCTTACGCAGGGCGTCCTCTGCACGACCGGCGTGGGGTGTCACTTCCAGCTGCCATTCTGATTGCACTCGCTCCTCCTCTACCCCTCGCCAGCGCATCCTTCGACTCCGCTATTCCCACCCATTGCCTTGGTGCCTCCACTCTCAACGCATGTCGGAACACGACCCGCTGTGCATCCCATGCTCTGGATCCTATGGACCTTGCATCCGGCGCTGACTCCCTCCAAGCCAATCAATGTCCTCCCCACAGAAAGACGGTGGCTTGCCCAAAGTGACCACGGCCAACCGTTGCAATTCACCACGCTACCACCGCAGCATCGACTAGCCATGCAACCATTTATCTTGCAGTAAGCCCACCGTCGACTTCCTTGTCGAGCCTCGCTTCTCGTGTTCACCTTAGATTGCACAAACCTGACTGGACACTAACTCACTCCGTAAACAGCTTGTCACCGATCACCGATAAACGACATGCTGCCTGAGCAGTCAAATGCCGCACCAAACAACTCGTGACATGTATCTCGTGACACAAGCTCACTCGTCAATACAAGACGACCCAACTCTCGGTCACGGCGCCAGAGGAGAAGAGACGATGAGGTCCGAAACAAGCTCCATGAAGCGTCGTGGCTCAAACGAATCGTAAATTGCTATCAAGGTTCAAAGTGTCGAAGAGAAAAGCCCCCACCCTGTACAGGGAACATGTGCAATACCCAATCGTCGACACGGATAAACGAAATCCACCCAAGCGGGAGCCCTCGAGTCTGATTGCAACCGTCTTGACACTGGCGCTTCGCTTCTCATTTCCTAGAAGAAATATGACCTTGGTTTCGGAAGGATAGGAAGGGCGTCCGTCTTGACCTCGGCCGAGCTTTTGAATTGTTAGTAATGTCTCAACATGTCAAACAACGTTACCCCAAACGACGTAACCGCCCTAAAGCTCTACTTTGCATTTTCGCAAGTTGAACTCGTCGTACACCCTTCTTCAGTCGCCCAAATGGCATGTATAAAAACGGCCTAGCTGTCTTGCTTGGTAGATGAAGTGGCGAAGCAATGCTTGCAAGCAATCGCTGTAGGTTTTACAGCTAGTTAAAATTGCTTAAGAAGCTTAGCTTAGCTACAAGCAATACGTTGATTAGAGCTTATCTCTCACAAAACCGCTAAAACCGGAAAATGGTGGCCCTTTTTAGCATTGCAAAACCACCTAAAGATATAGCAAAAACAGTACCTGCATGCTTCTTATGCTAGCTTGTTTCTTGTATTTACGAATGACAATTTTAAGACTAAGAAACCCCCAAGGCAAGATATCCATATTCGATAGTACAAATCTTGACCAGAGGTAAGCACGTTGCGATGGGAATATTGTACAAGGTGCCTTCCAAAAGTTCTTGCTGATAGAGGTATCTATCGGCCCGACTGTCTTAGCACCCACTGTTACAAGTAACAAGAAGGAT